AATTATAAAAAAGTTCCCAATATAATTCAATTTTTCTTAGGCGGACTATTTTATAGCATTTTCTTGCACAAAATACACCTAAAAGTGTAGAAAAAATTGACAGCCAAATTCGAGTAGAGGAAGACACCTATTACCACCTAAAAGTCATTTTACCAAAAAAACCAAAATTATAAAAAAGTTCCCAATATAATTCAATTTTTCTTAGGCGCACTATTTTATTGCATTTTCTTGCACAAAATACACCTAAAAGTGTAGAAAAAAATTGACAGCCAAATACGAGTAGAGGAAGACACCTATTACCACCTAAAAGGCATTTTACCCATAAATCCAAAATTATAAAAAAGTTCCCAATATAATTCAATTTTTCTTAGGCGGACTATTTTATTGCATTTTCTTGCACAAAATACACCTAAAAGTGTAGAAAAAAATTGACAGCCAAATTCGAGTAGAGGAAGACACCTATTACCACCTAAAAGTCATTTTACCAAAAAAACCAAAATTATAAAAAAGTTCCCAATATAAAACAATTTTTCTTAGGCGGACTACTTTATTGCATTTTCTTGCACAAAATACACCTAAAAGTGTAGAAAAAATTGACAGCCAAATTCGAGTAGAGGAAGACACCTATTACCACCTAAAAGTCATTTTACCAAAAAAACCAAAATTATAAAAAAGTTCCCAATATAATTCAATTTTTCTTAGGCGGACTATTTTATTGCATTTTCTTGCACAAAATACACCTAAAAGTGTAGAAAAAAATTGACAGCCAAATACGAGTAGAGGAAGACACCTATTACCACCTAAAAGTCATTTTACCAAAAAAACCAAAATTATAAAAAAGTTCCCAATATAATTCAATTTTTCTTAGGCGGACTATTTTATTGCATTTTCTTTCACAAAATACACCTAAAAGTGTAGAAAAAAATTGACAGCCAAATACGAGTAGAGGAAGACACCTATTACCACCTAAAAGTCATTTTACCAAAAAAACCAAAATTATAAAAAAGTTCCCAATATAATTCAATTTTTTATTGGCGCACTTTTTTATTGCATTTTCTTGCACAAAATACACCTAAAAGTGTAGAAAAAAATTGACAGCCAAATACGAGTAGAGGAAGACACCTATTACCACCTAAAAGTCATTTTACCAAAAAAACCAAAATTATAAAAAAGTTCCCAATATAATTCAATTTTTCTTAGGCGCACTATTTTATTGCATTTTCATGCACAAAATACACCTAAAAGTGTAAAAAAAAATTGACAGTCAAATACGAGTAGAGGAAGACACCTATTACCACCTAAAAGGCATTTTACCAAAAAAACCTAAATTATAAAAAAGTTCCCAATATAATTCAATTTTTCCTAGGCGTACTATTTTATTGCATTTTCTTGCACAAAATACACCTAAAAGTGTAAAAAAAAATTGACAGCCAAATACGAGTAGAGGAAGACACCTATTACCACCTAAAAGGCATTTTACCCATAAATCCAAAATTATAAAAAAGTTCCCAATATAATTCAATTTTTCTTAGGCGGACTATTTTATTGCATTTTCTTGCACAAAATACACCTAAAAGTGTAGAAAAAAATTGACAGCCAAATTCGAGTAGAGGAAGACACCTATTACCACCTAAAAGTCATTTTACCAAAAAAACCAAAATTATAAAAAAGTTCCCAATATAATTCAATTTTTCTTAGGCGGACTATTTTATTGCATTTTCTTGCACAAAATACACCTAAAAGTGTAGAAAAAAATTGACAGCCAAATACGAGTAGAGGAAGACACCTATTACCACCTAAAAGTCATTTTACCAAAAAAACCAAAATTATAAAAAAGTTCCCAATATAATTCAATTTTTCTTAGGCGCACTATTTTATTGCATTTTCTTGCACAAAATACACCTAAAAGTGTAGAAAAAAATTGACAGCCAAATACGAGTAGAGGAAGACACCTATTACCACCTAAAAGTCATTTTACCAAAAAAACCAAAATTATAAAAAAGTTCCCAATATAATTCAATTTTTCTTAGGCGGACTATTTTATTGCACTTTCTTGCACAAAATACAGCTAAAAGTGTAGAAAAAAATTAACAGCCAAATACGAGTAGAGGAAGACACCTATTACCACCTAAAAGTCATTTTACCCATAAATCCAAAATTATAAAAAAGTTCCCAATATAATTCAATTTTTCTTAGGCGGGCTGTTTTATTGCATTTTCTTGCACAAAATACACATAAAAGTGTAGAAAAAAATTGACAGCCAAATTCGAGTAGAGGAAGACACCTATTACCACCTAAAAGTCATTTTACCAAAAAAACCAAAATTATAAAAAAGTTCCCAATATAATTCAATTTTTCTTAGGCGGACTATTTTATTGCACTTTCTTGCACAAAATACAGCTAAAAGTGTAGAAAAAAATTAACAGCCAAATACGAGTAGAGGAAGACACCTATTACCACCTAAAAGTCATTTTACCCATAAATCCAAAATTATAAAAAAGTTCCCAATATAATTCAATTTTTCTTAGGCGGGCTGTTTTATTGCATTTTCTTGCACAAAATACACATAAAAGTGTAGAAAAAAATTGACAGCCAAATTCGAGTAGAGGAAGACACCTATTACCACCTAAAAGTCATTTTACCAAAAAAACCAAAATTATAAAAAAGTTCCCAATATAATTCAATTTTTCTTAGGCGGACTATTTTATTGCACTTTCTTGCACAAAATACACCTAAAAGTGTAGAAAAAATTAACAGCCAAATACCAGTAGAGGAAGACACCTATTACCACCTAAAAGTCATTTTACCAAAAAAACCAAAATTATAAAAAAGTTCCCAATATAATTCAATTTTTCTTAGGCGGACTATTTTATTGCATTTTCTTGCACAAAATACACCTAAAAGTGTAGGAAAAAATTGATAGCCAAATACGAGTAGAGGAAGACACCTATTACCACCTAAAAGTCATTTTACCCATAAATCCAAAATTATAAAAAAGTTCCCAATATAATTCAATTTTTCTTAGGCGGACTATTTTATTGCATTTTCTAGCACAAAATACACCTAAAAGTGTAGAAAAAAATTGACAGCCCGATTCGAGTAGAGGAACACCAATTTTATGACCATTAAAGCGATTTTCGTAAAAAAAAAATTTTCAAAAAAATTCAATTTTTCTTAGGCAGACTATTTTATTGCAATTTCTTGCACAAAATACACCTAAAAGTGTAGAAAAAAATTGACAGTCCGATCCGAGTAGAGGAACACCAATTTTATGACCATTCAAGCGATTTTCGTAAAAAAAAAATTTTCAATAAAATTCAATTTTTCTTAGGCAGACTATTTTATTGCAATTTCTTGCACAAATTACACCTAAAAGTGTAGAAAAAATTGACAGCCCAATCCGAGTAGGGGAACACCAATTTTATGACCATTAAAGCGATTTTCGTAAAAAAAAAATTTTCAAAAAAATTCAATTTTTCTAAGGCAGACTATTTTATTGCAATTTCTTGCACAAAATACACCTAAAAGTGTAGAAAAAAATTGAAGACATCTATTACCAACCAGAAGGCAACCAACCATAAAAGTAAGGAAAAGAAGCCATGGCAACGGTTGCCATGAAAATAGTTTTCATGGTAACGGTTGCCATGGAAACCATGCGATTTTGCGCGGGACGGACAGACAGACAGATGATGGACGTACGGATGGCCAGACGATTCCTATGATATCTGTTTCCATATCATTGCTGACTCTACATTGGCTGCGCAAACGTGTACGTGAACGTTAACATTTTGGCGTCACATTGTTATTCAAATGCATGACGTCACACGTTCATGTTTCATGTTTGATTGTTTGTATCCGGGTTAAGACTTTGGCAATATTTTCAGAGCGATTATTTTGAAATTTCAAAAAATCATTGGGATATAGTTCCGAATAGCACATACCTCCGATTTCAATAAAACTTAGTATCCCTACGTAATTTGGTGCGCTGATTACCAAAATCATAGTGAAAATTGGCGGAAATTTAATTATCATGGTAAAAACCATAAAAAACACCATAAAATCATGGTTTTTTTCGATTATCTCGTAAAAAACAAAAAACTTCGAAAAAAGTTTTAGACGAAAGTTGTAGATCTCTAAAAAACACACATTTCATGTTTTATGCATTTTTTACCAAAAGTCATTATTTTTCGAGAAAAACGCAAAATAGTAAACACGGCCTTCGGCCGCGTAAGGTACTGCTCGCTTCTCTTTTTAAGAAATCTTGGCGAGAGGGGGTGGATGTGTCCGAAAGTAATTTGCAGAAATTGTGGGGTGGAGTCTACAGCAGCGGTAAACGCAAAATAGTAAACACGGCCTTCGGCCGCGTAAGGTACTGCTCGCTTTTCTTTTTAAAAAAACCTTGGCGAGAGGGGGTGGATATGGCCGAAAGTATTTTGCGGAATTCGTTGGATCCTGAGTAATGGTGAATATGATAATTTCTGCAAATTACTTTCGGACACATCCACCCCCTCTCGCCAAGATTTCTTAAAAAGAGAAGCGAGCAGTACCTTACGCGGCCGAAGGCCGTGTTTACTATTTTGCGTTTTTCTCGAAAAATAATGACTTTTGGTAAAAAATGCATAAAACATGAAATGTGTGTTTTTTAGAGATCTACAACTTTCGTCTAAAACTTTTTTCGAAGTTTTTTGTTTTTTACGAGATAATCGAAAAAAACCATGATTTTATGGTGTTTTTTATGGTTTTTACCATGATAATTAAATTTCCGCCAATTTTCACTATGATTTTCGTAATCAGCGCACCAAATTACGTAGGGATACCAAGTGTTATCGAAATCAGAGGTATGTGCTATTCGGAACTGCACCCAATCATTGATTTCATTTTGTCCTAGCTCAGCATCCGCTGGACCTATCAAAAAGTGTTCCATACATTATGCATACATTATGCTCCTATATGCAGGAGTTGTCATGCCAACGTACAGGAGTATTCCTCATATTCTTCTACTTAAATGATTTGAGGCTTTGCCAACTGTCAGAACATTAAAGTCAAAAGACGAAAAAGTTCTAGAATAAACTATATGTTACACTTTTGGTAATACAGGTCACGTAACAGTAAGATAAATCTAGCTTATAGGAAATTTTTGAGATTGAATCACGGAGGAATAGTAGGGAGACAGATCTCTGCGTTTGAAAATGTCCGAGAAACATGCACGATAAGTGCATTGTACTCAGCTGGCCAAAGTAGTTTAGCATGCGCATTGGACCTCAATTTTGACAGATGAAAAGTGTGGTTATGCGATATACATATATGTCACAAAAAAATCTTAGTTTTCGATGTTTATTTCAGATATTTACCATTGCGATAGTGTATCTCCAAAATCATGTGTAAGTATATAATAATGTATGCTATTGGAATATTTAAAGTGTCAATAGATTGAAGTAATTATTAAAACAATGGAGCCATGCATAGTAATTACAAACATATTATTTATTATGTATGTCATGAAAAAGATTTTTTTTACCAAGAAATTGTTAGTTTTCAAATTAATTGTCAAATATTTTTTTACAGATCAAATAGAGAAAATTAAAAAAATGAAAGAAAAGAAAATGAGAGTAAGAAAATTGAAAGAGAAAAAAAAATTTTTTGGATTGCAAAAAATTGAAGATGACTGTAGAATTAGAAGAAGAGTTGCTGTTTTTCCAAATTTAACTGTAAATATTTATTTCGACAATGAAATAATGCCGTTTTCAGAATTTATAACTATTAATAGTGTTGATCAATTTATAGCACTTTTAAACAAAGTGCATGAATTTCCTCTTAATAATTAAATTAATTAAGTCTCATGTATGTTATTTTTTCTAAGTGTACAAACTGCTTATAGTTAATACGTGTCCTATATTTTGTCTATTATAGTTGAATAAATTCTCTATGTAGAAAGTGCAAAGAAAATGGAAGAAGTAGAGGTAACTTAAACTGATGTAAAGAATTGTTGAAAAATGGATTAAATATTTTTTTAATGTAAATTATAGCTTTTTATTAATGATGAAACATATTTTTTGAATTATTACATACAATAGTAACAAAATTATGTTATTTCCTCACAAATCCAAGACACATTTATCTTAACTAATTTTTAAAAGCAATGTAATAAAAAAATTATTTTATATATACATATATTTAATTTTATTCTCACCATGTCTTATCTTCCACTTTCATACAAGGCAAGATTTCTGTTACAGTTTTTAATAAATTCTCAAATTCTAACATTCCCTTTATATTATTCATTTCTGGCAATGAAATAGGTTTTTCATTAATATATACCTGCGATAGAGAAACAAAAATAATAATGTTTATATATAAATCAATGCTCATACTCACATAATATGATTCAAAATATAAGTAGATAAATATTAAACATAATTGAAATAATAATTGTATTACTGAAACAGTATATATATATTAGTAAAATTACTCACATCCACTTTTAAATCGTTGTGAAGTACAATCCTCTTTAAACACACCGAGTAATCTTCTTTCCAAAAACTCCAGGATACGCAGTAACTGTTATTAATATTTGCAATCCATAATTTATTCAAGTATTCAGAAATTTTGTCTTTCTTATCTATAGCGTTAACAACATCCTCGTAAAAATTATTGCTTTCTATTAACTTTGGTCTCTTTATATCTTCTGTGTCAATGTCGTTAATTATTTCCATTTTGCGTTTTATCCCTACTTTCGATTTTATTGTGTGATTCTTAACATTATCGCGATCGTTGTGGCTCTGTTCTTTTAACTGCATCTTGCTATGTTTTTCACAGTTTTCATTATTTTCTAACGCAACATTTATTACTCTCTGACGATTGAAAACTTCAGGGTCTAACTTTATACAATAGTCATTTTTCCTCTTTTTAGAAAATTTCGATTTTTCTGAAAAAATCGATGGATCAGCAAATTCTGACAAAATCGGCCTTTTTCTTTTTTCTTTAAAAACTTTGCCACCACGTTTGAAAACATTTCTTTCTCTTTCAATTACATCTTCTTTAAAATGTAATATACAGATTTTATATGTTTTATTCAATTTTTCAAGACCTACTTTTTTTAAAAGTATTTCTGACCAATCTCTCATTTGCCTATCCTATAAATTTAATAAGATATTGATTATTTTAAAACAACTTTTTTTGCATACATAGATAAAATAAAGTGTATAATTACAAATATGTATTTGACATACCGTGCGAGGTTCATATAGACTAATATTTTTTGTCTCCTTCTTCCAATAGGATGTGTTACATCCTGGCACACAGCACGACATTTTAAAATAAACATTAATAATAACAATAATAACATAACCCCTTCATCACAATAAGCATGGAAGACTTGAGGCTGAGTCTACAATAGAAAAAAAGAATGTGTTTAACTGTGTAGTGTGGTGTTCTGTGTATTGCCAACTTCCGAGAGGTGAAATTGAACACACGTCAGTAGCGTAGCCACATCGAGAAATTTTAGGACCATCGGAATGAATTTAATTCTGTTCTCGACGCGTTTAAACCATATTCAAAATTTTAATTTAGAAACAATTAATATTATAAAATATTTTTGTAATAAGAAAACTAATTATTAATTTTGTAATAATTGAATACTTACCTGTCAGTGTAAATTTATTTTAAAATTGTGGTTAAATTGTTTCTAAATTTAAATTTTGAATATGGTTTAAACGCAGCGAGAACAGAATTAAATTCATTCCGATGGTCCTAAAATTTCTCGATGTGGCTACGCTACTGACGTGTGTTCAATTTCACCTCTCGGAATTTGTCAATACACAGAACACAGACTCAGCCTGAGAAATATACGTCAGTCAGATCTCACTCGCACACTTTTTGCGAGAGAAAGAGACAGCACATGGCTAATACGCATGCTCAACTACTTTGGTGGTTGAGTAGAATGCAGTGAAACTGGCACTTATCGTGCATTTTCTCAGACATTTTCAGAAGCGCTACTACAGCAATATCGGTCTCCTTACTATTCCTCCGTGAGAGACACATATATTTTCTGACACTTATTTCGTCCCCTCGCCCCGTCTCCCTCACGGTGATTTCGAATTGCTTGTGTTTTTTCAGGTATGGTATGTTCCTTTTTTGTTAAAAATGCGTCTCGATCTATCCCTTGCTGTGTTTGAATTGCGTGCCGTTCCCTCATCCCAAATCGCTTTCGAAGTACGAAATTCGATATCAGCCCTTGCGCATGTATAGACTGATAGCCGAGCTCTGATCGTATCATCGGTTGGTTTCTATTGTCCCTACTCGCCAAAGTCAACACTCGCCATTTGTCATAATTTTCGTCAACTACCGCACTCTGCTCTAGTGAAAATTAAGTGACTTTATTGTTAAAATTAAATGTTACTAAATTTTCACTAGAGCAGGGTCCGGTAGTTGGCGAAAATTATGACAAATGGCGAGTGGGGACAATGGAAACCAACCAGCTATTTGATTCTTATGGAGCTTCTACAATAGGTCCGAAAGTAAAGTGCAAGTCCAAGTCCGAGTGGCTCGGACTTTGTTGCGCGCGCATCGTGTTGACTTTTATTTTTGTAAGATATTTGATAATAAATAGTAATTAATTATTAAATTATGAGTAATTAATAAATAATTTAACAATTAATTAATTAATAATGAGTAATTACCATCAATTATCTTAAAAAAATAAAAATTACACGATGCGCGCGCAACAAAGGCCGAGCCACTCGGACTTGGACTTTACTTTCGGACCTATTGTACAAGCTCCATTAAGGTGCTTTTATACCTCCAGTATTTTGGTCAAGCAATCGGCTGGATTGGACTTTCACGGTTGTATCACTGAATTTGATTGGCTCTGACAAATATTAGATTTTCACTGTGAAAATTGAACTTTTTTAGAGCCAATCAAATTTAGTGATTCTCCGTGAAAATTCAATCCAGCCGATTGGGATCGGCTAAACTGCAATACGCCATCTGGTGGGGACCCATTCTCTCCCTCCATTTTCTTTCTTTGTCTCTCTTCAATTAATAGGTTAGAAAGAGTAGAAAAAACAAAATGGAGGGAGAGAATGGGTCAAAGTTACTAGATTGTTACTAGACCACCGTTCCCAATTGCTTGACCAAAATACTAGAGGTATAAAAGTACCTTTAGCACTGCTTGAGCCGTCTGAATAGACCTTTTCATGCTGATCGTTCTGTCCTTATCTAGCGCATGCAATGACGCATGAGTTGCAAAAAGACAGAATTATCAGCATGAAAAGGTCTATGCAGTTATTTAATCAGTACAAAGTTGTAAAAAAACAAGTTCCTAAAAAAACAGAACAAGCACACCTGTTTCGGTTAAAAATATGAAAAAATGTAGCCTCTTTTACGTGTACATCTTAATTGCAATGTTTTAACCAATGAAATTTGAAGTTTAATGTTAAATGTTGAAATTAAATGTTTAATATTAATTTAAATTTAATGTTTTAATCAATAAAACTAATTTATACTTTTATAAACAAGTTAAGAATCTTTTCGTGCTAACTGAGCGCTCATAGCTAGAATCTGGAAAACGCCATATGACTCATGTTTGATGATGCATGAGATAGAAAATTAGCTTACAATGTTAATGTCAGGTTCAACTTGATTCGACTAATTTAAAATATTTATTTAAAATAATAATAATATATATAACCGGAAGAGCGACTCATGTAGAAAAGTCGTTTCCGGTGTGCTTCAGATTGAAAGCGGTTCCAGAATAGGTTGCAAATCCCATGAGTGCAAGAGAGATAGGTAGTCCATCAGTATTTCTTGCACTCATGGGATTTGTATTTGGACTTGCAGTTGTACTTGGCTTTTGCACCTATTCTGGAACGCCTTATGGAGCATTTACACCTTTGGTAAAAAAAATTTTTTATTTTGATTTTCGGAAATGCAAAGATCTGATTGGTTGTCCATTATCAATCAGATTGTGAACAACCAATCAGGTTTGTGTATTTCGGAAAATTCAAAAATAAAAAATTTTTTTACCAAAGGTGTAAATGCTCCGTTAAAACACTGGTCACCATATTTTTCATTCCCTGTTGTATACTCCTCTTATTATTTGCGCACGTTGGTGTAGCAAGGCCCTCTCCAGAATGGAGCTAAACGCAACGCATCCCCATTTGTGCTGAGTTCGCTCTTTGTATGCGAACGTTTATGTTCCGTGCTGACGTCACAATGTTCTGCAAATGGGTAACGTCAGCACAGAACTCAGGACCCAGTAATAAAAAATTTTAATTAATAAATTAAACAAAGTTTAAATATATTTTATTTTATTATAGTTATTAATTAATTAGAAAAATTAAATTAATACATGTAATTATTTCATTAAAATTAATTATGTAACTAATTACTTTCTTAATTTCATATATAATAACTATGTTTTTTAAATATCAATTACGTTAAAATATTTAAAAATTAAAATTATTGACAATTAATTATTTAATTTGTTGTTCAATATATTTCAATTCTATTAAATTATTTGAATTCTAATGCCACTTATGAAAAAACGGGAATGAAAAATATGGCGTTGCCACTGAACTCTATAATATCTGGAATGCTGTCTGCCATTGAAAGTCGCGAACCGAGAGAGAGGTCTGATTTTTGTATTCCCCTCTTTGTCGGTACAGGTCCATTAGAAAATATTTAACAGTATACGTGAACATGACATAACACAGTTAACAGTAAACTTTTGGAACGTATTGTATTACGCCTTCGCAATTTAGCAAGAGAAGGAGAGGATTACAAAAATCAGCCCTCTCTCTCGGCTCGCGACCATCAATGACAGACAGCATTACAGATATATAGAGTTCAGTGGGCATTGCCGGTCTTCTAATAAAAGTACGGTAGGAGACACAATCGCCCATCTTATAGCAATCGGTGTAAAAATCGATTTAGTAAAAAACCATCTATCTTTCTCAGAATTAAAAGTTAAATTTTTTGAATTTACCGCCCTAAGAATGAACAGGATTCGGAATTTGAGTCACTTTAGTCAAATTCCTAACATGACGACCAAACCTTGATGACGACGTTAAACATCTGACGTTTTTTATTCTATATTCGCGCCGTTAACTTTCGCGCAGCTCCCGCCGGATCGATACTTTGCTTTCCGTTTTGCGTATTTTAATCCTAACCTAGAGTAATTTCAATATTTGCAAATCTAGTCTTTGCCATGTAAAGTTCAATCTTTTCAATTACAGTGACTATTTTTTGGGTCTGTTTTTCCGGAGGGTCTTCAATTTACGAAGTTCGAAGCCATTGATGCGTAAGTCCAGGTTGTTTTGCTTCTCATTTTTTGCTTTTCTAAATTGTATACTGTTGGATGTAAGTTTACATATAGTCACACTTGTCACATCTTTTTAAGTTCAGTTCAAGTCAATTTTTGAGTGAGGTTTCGAGTTTTCTTGTTTATTACAGAACAAAATTAATTTTCTCTTTTTTTTTTAGGTTAAGTATTCATATGACAAACTTATTTTCAAAAAATAACCCTCTTTTCTCTAAAAATTTTTTTAAAAATAAACTTTAATTTAAAAAAAAAATAAACAAACTAAAATAGTTTTAATTTTCATATTTTTTCATAACATTTTTAGTCATAAATGGCTTTTTCTTATGAGGAACCTTCCAGTAGTTATATATGGTTATCCGGGTAATGTTTTTTGCTGTTTATAGATACAAAATTGTGAAGTGTCCTTGAAAAATATTATCTTTTCTTATACAAATATTTTTCACTGCGAAATGTTTATTGTTCTGTAATTTTTCTTTGATTGTATGTAAAAAAATTTTTCGGATTCAAAGTATGTATATATATGAACATACATATAAATGTATCTTTTTCTTTAACAATAAAATGTTTAAACATGATATGTTGAAGGTAGTTAATATAATCTTAAACAAAAGTTAATGCCATTTAAAATAGTTTTGAATTTGAAAAATTTGTTTCCGTTTTTATTCAAATTAAAAAAAAAAAATTTCAAGCTAATAAAAATATACAAGTAATGAATATCATCAGAAAGTTTTTTAATTTTTTAAATACAAAACTTTTTTTATATCATTTTAATCTGTAAAACATAGTTTTTTATAAGAACTAAAAGAATGACTGCATTGATAATATTTTATCAACATTTAAAACCTAATAGAAAATTTTATTCATACGTTACATGATGTTAACAGTTTATTTTTTCAAAGTAAATGTTTGCTTTAAAAAAATTACAAAATAGAATTTAAATAATAGGATTTTTATTGAAATGAATATGAATTTCTTTTTTTAAAAAAATGCGAAAAGACTAAGAATTTATATTTTTTTCAGGACTAATCGATAAACATGTATAATGGCATTGGTCTACAAACACCCAGAGGTTCTGGTACAAATGGACATGTCCAGAGAAATTGGGCAGTCATTCGCAAAACGAAAGAAAAAGATACCTATAAAGCACATGAAGAAAAAGTTGATTCTGCGAGTAAGCAACCAAACAAAGAAATTCTCGACCATGACAGAAAACGCAAAATAGAAATAAAATGCACCGAACTCTCAGACATTTTAGAAGAAAAAGGGTATGTTGTGAATTTTAATCGATAAAAAATAATGTTCTTTTTCCGTTTAGAAAATTGGATTTTACATTATTATTTTCGTAAGTATGAGAAATATATTTTTTTAATAAATTTTTTTTATTTTTTTAAATATTATTTTAATATAAGGATGAAAACAAATATGTTTACTCAAATAATTATAGGGTAAAAATTTCAATCAATGATTTTATCAAATAGAAAATTAAAGAAAATACTGCAGATTTTATAAGATTAAAATCTTATAAATTATACAAAAAGAATGAAAAGCAAAATGAAATAACAAAATTCAAAATAGTATTTCTATTAAAAATATTGGAAATATTGATCGTATAAAATTGTATTGAAAAAAATTTAATAGTTAAAACTAAAAAAAAATTTTTAAAAGAGAAGTAATTTAATATATTAAAAAATTTTAATTTAAATAATTGTTATATTTATGTACATTTATTTTATTAATTAAAATCATAAACTGTTGATATACAATCAGGAGAGATATAAAATTTGTTCTGTTGACAGCATCTTTAACGTGAATTATTTAATATTTTTAATGTTGACAATTTTTGTATTTCTTTTTTTATTTTATAATAGATAATTCTTTGGACCATTATTAAATCATTTCTTTTTCATTGTAGATACTCTGCAAAAGAAATTGAAGAAAAAGTGGAAAGTTATCGTTCAATGCTGAGGGGCAAAGATGAGAGACCCTCCGTGCCGACTGATGAATTTGGACGAGTAACGTAAGTAAACTATTTTTTAACTTTATTGATTTAAAAAAATTTTTCAGCTTACTCTTCAAATTTTCCATGTCTATTTTTTAGTTTAGAAACTTAAATATTCAATATTCTTTCGTTTCCATATTTTTTTTTAAATTTAAAGAATGGTAACAAAAATATAAAAACTTGCTAAAGAAGCAAAAATTTTTGATGAGAAATCCGAAAAAAGTTTATTTTCCCCGAAAGTAATATTTCACATGGGTTCTCTAAAATTTTCTGCATTTTAGCCCCAACTAATATTGAAGTTCGAAATTCAACACGCATCATTTTCTCGATTTCTTCACCTTCAAATCCGTTTTATATTAAAGATGATGTCAATTCTTATTCAGTTTTTGATCTGTTGGAAATGAAAATTTTGTTCGTTTTCAAAGAGAAAAATTCAGTTTTTTTCCCCCAAAAAATGGAATAAAATTTTGCTTTGAATTCTATTTAAAAGTACATTTTACTTTAAAAAAAAAACAAACAAATTTTTTCTCAAGCAAAAAAAGTAAATTTCCTTTAAAAAAAAAAATAATGAAAATTTCTTTGTAAAAAAGTATCGATTTCTTAAAACAAAAAAAAATTGTGCAATTTTTTTGAAAGAAGAAATATTTGATTAAAAAAAGGGAAGAAAATCTCGTATTTAATCTGAGATTGTAATCTGAAAAGAAATTGATTTTGACGAATGCAATAATGTTTGTTCATCTTTTGCCCCCTCCTCCACGGTATTCCGGGGATATTTTGAAGGTGGGTACACGGGCATGGGAGAGATATTGACTTCATTTGGCGCCGGCGCTTCTCATAGAGAAGAGGAGAAAAGGATGGGCAATTGCTTTCTCTCAAAAGGTATATATATATGGAGGGAGGGCGTCGAGAAAAGGGAGAAATTATTGTAAGGCAGGGGGTTGCTCTTTTCTCTCTCTCTCTCTCTCTCTCTCTCTCTCTCTCTCTTTCTCTCTTCCAATATCAGAGAGATTTTGCCTCAGTGTTAGAATGGACCGATGTCGCGACGTCACGCGTCGCCCTTGTGGCAGAGATTTTTCTCGTATATATTTAATCGACTAGTTTAAACTAGTCCACTTCCGATCATGTAGCACTCTCGACAAACGAGTCATTCACAAAATCACTCAAGTCTTCCATTAGTGTGTAAAATTTTATCTATAGTTAGTTTTTAATCAAGTTCTTGCAAATAATCGCGTGATATTCGCTCAGTTGAATTCATATGCCGGAAATTCACAATTTTCGAAATTACATTGAAGAAAATATAAAATAAAATAAAAACAAAAAATTTCCATTGTATTGAAGAAAAAGAAGAAGAAAAAAGAGAGTATTATTTCGAAGAAGAGAAAAAAAAGATTTTTTTAAAAATTAAATCCACGTGTCTCCAGAAATTAAGATAAGATATTATAAATAAGGATATATTAAAAAGAATAATTTTCGGATTGTGCCTGAATCCAACGTCTTCCATTAAAAAAGAAATAAATAATTTCAACAACGATAGAAAAATCTTTAATTAAGCAATTTCTCGAATTTGAATTTTAAAAAAGAGGAAACTTAAAAATCGATAAATTTTATAAATGATTTTACAGAATCAAATAATTTTCTAATCGAGGATATCGATTTTAAAAATAATTAAAAATATTTCGAGTGAAATTTTTCTAAAATTAGAAAAAAAAGAATTTCAAGAAAAATATTCATATAAAATTATGAAACGAATATATTGAGAATTGGAATATATAAATTTTTACATAACTTTTCCCAAAAATACTAGTGATTTGAAAAGAAAAAAAATGTCGCACGAGATAATTTTACAATTGTGAAAAAATTAATTGAGACAAAAAGGGAGCAAGATATCTTTATAGACAATATTTTTGCCCTGAGCTTTTTAGTGAGATTGCAAAAGCTTATGAAAGCAGAGACGATATTACAAAAGACAGACTGCTATAAGTAGGAAGGAAACTATTATCCCCTTCTGCTTCTCTCTTTCTATCTCTCTCGTGTCAGAGAAAAAGTCTCCCTCGAAGTAAAGATCAAATGCAACAAAAAACAAACTTCTTGAAATGAATAAATCATTATGAAAATCAAATTAATTAGAAAATATTTGCTTGGAAATTATAATTGTAATTAACAATCTCTCGAAAAGGGTGAAAATTAACGAAATAAAATTGATCGATAATAATTATTTTATCAATCTCTTTATATTCTATTGATATTTATATATATTTATATTATTATACTGACATTTATTATAATAATATATCGATATTTATTAAGATTGTAATATTAACATATATATTATTGTATTTATAAATATATCAATTTAATACATATATATATATATAAATAATTACTTCAATATCAATGACAATGGCAGCAACAAATGCAGTTGTGAAAACAGCAAGAGGACGAGGTCCTGCTGATGGTAGAGCCTTTTTCGAAAGACTTTGGCGAGGAAATTTCTTTCTCGATCGACAAAAAGTTTGCAAACGTTCTCGAAAACGTAAAGTTCAAGCCAAAAATGCAGGCAGAAAAAAAGGACAGAACAAGCAACATTGTTGCTGTTGTCAAAGAATTCAACTTCACCTGCTGGCTGGACGACGAAACAACATTCGTTCCGTTGTTAGGTGATTATTACTATTATTATCATTAAAGTATTCTTTTTATATTTTTTTTGTGTCCTGTCGAATGTACTTTAACAAAAATTGTTATTTGATAATTTCAATTTTTAAATTATTTCAGAATTAATAGAGATTAATTACAAAAATATGTATAAATTATTCTAAATTTTATATAAGAATTAAAGAAACTATTACAATATTTTATTTTTTGAACAAAAAAATCCGTTATCTCCTAAAAATTAAAATTGTAACTAATTAATTAATGCAAGTTACGGAAAAATTAAATATTTTTTTAATTCTTCTTACAAAAGTAATAAAATAAACGGTCTCATTTTAAATAGTGCTTGGGAAAAAAAATTTATTATTATTACATTATTTACGTACATTTATCTTAATTAAAAAGTTTGTAAAATAGTTTAAAAAATTTTTTAAAGTAAATAAATGTTATGTGTTTTTGTTGAAGATCCTATTTTTCAAAAATTTACAAAATAAAAAAATTAGGTGAGAAATTAAAAAAATTTTAATATTGTAAAATGATTTTTTACTATTGTTTCGAAATTTTCATGAATTTTACAAAGTTTCTAATTTTAATAGTTATGAAAACGTGATCAAGCATGTGAATTAGAGATTCTAAATAAACGATGGTTGACAGAATGACCGGATTTGTTATAAGGGAATTAGATTACGATGGTTAGAAATAGGTTCTTGATACATTGATACATTTACCTCGAGAGCTATTCGATATTCTTGAGGGGTTGAATTTCCCCCTCGATTTTTATAATCGCAGTTGAGAATCCGAAGCCTTATGACAAATTAAATTGAATATTTTATTCAAGTTTTATTTTTAAAAAAAATATATAACTATATTTTATATTTTTAAATTAAATGAATTTTTCTTTCAACGAACAAACTTTTTTCTATAAGAAATTAACATCAATAAAAAATGTAAGTAAACTTTGATAGATGTAATTTTATCTTTTTACACTTCAACGGACTAGAAACTTTTTACAAAATTAAACCTTAGAGTAAAATAATTATTAATGAGGAAAATTACAATAAAATGAAAAAAAGATTATTTTATAAAAACCCTGAAATTACAGTTATAAAATTTATAAATATTTTAAAAAATTGAAAAATAATTTTGTTTTATTTTAATAAATTAATAAAATGTCATTTGCCATACGTTCGATATCTTATAGGGAAAAAGTAGAACTTATTAACAGATGTGAAACTTATAAGGGTTCGATTATTATTATCCTTCAGTTAAATCATGCATATAAAATCACTCGACCAAGACATTAAACCAAAGTGACTTTTTATTTTTTGTGTTTAATGTTTTTTTTATACTCAGATTTTTAGAAATTGCTTTTTCTAGTTTTATTTTCTTCTTTTTTTTATTACACTTTTTTTATCGGTTACTTTTCATATTTTTTTTCTTCTTTTTTCAATATTTTTTTTATATTTGTCAATCAAATTTTCTTCCACTCTTTCAATATTAATATTTAATAAAAAAATGTTTTTCCTTCCTTTCTAACTATCAGTTACCTAAATCCGACAGTGACACGCTACTCAATCAAAAATTGACATATTGATCCTTTATTTTATCAAAATTGCATGTCATTGACAGAACTCAATTTGCATTCAAATAATATTACTCGAAAATATTTTATTCGGAATTATTTTTTTCCTTTAAAATTCTTTTCCAATTTGCCGGGGGAAAAAAATAGAAAATTAATGAGTAATTTTTTGTCAAACTAGTTATTTTATTCAAAATATAAGTTTTTACTATAATTTTTTTTCCATAAATTCTATTTTTTTACTCTCAACCTCTTTTTTCTGTGAATTTTTGGGTAAATTATTTACCCAATTTTATTATAATATGGTTACAATTTTTTGGTAGAAGTAAGTGAAGCGAAATGTAATAAAAACAATCAATCAGAAAATTAAAAATTCTTCGAGTAGATTACTCGTAATCGATTTCATCAGGCAAGCATCATAAAAAAATGATTGTTACCCTTCTTGCTGAGATAAGGGGCAATGACTCATGAGGGTAGTCTTTTTTTGCACATGCGTGATTTATAATCTATGATCAGTTTCTTTTTTATAATATTAAATGTGCTTCCCCTGCCCCCGCATTTGCCTGGTCATTTGTAAGTGGTTGTATATAGGGGAAAAGAGAACAGCTGGATTGTATTGATCCATCGCACGAGCTATAGTTTAAGGGTGGCTCTGCCTTACTATATACGTTCAGTTTTCTCCACACGAGCCGATCAGTGTGTTATGTCATTTTCTCACTTATATTGTTCAACGTGTTTACAATTTTTCCCGACCCGATAGAAAGTATTTTTTTTTCTTCAAAATTGGTTTACAATCTTTTCACACGGTTTACAGGAATTTCAAATTTTCATCATTCACATGGATTCGTATCAGTGACATCGAGAAATTCACAGGTTTATTACAAAAATGACTGTGAAAATCTCGACTCGGTACGTCGAGAGAATTCGATTTTAATTATTGACTAATTTTTATATATTTTTATTATTTTTATTTTGTTGACAAAAATGTTAATTATTACATTATAATTTTGTTTTCTAATCTTTTAGAAAAGTAAAATCCTTAAAAATTCAAACTAGAATTATTTTTCTGAACCCAAGTGAAATATATTTTATTCCAATTGTATTTAATTAATGTTTCAGAATAATTTTTTTCAATTTAAATTTATTAATTTTTTATCTAATTTTTGTTGGTTGTTTTTATATAAAAATCGTGATCCTCTGAATAAAAAGAAAATATTTGTTTGTGTATTTGTCTCTTGAATTAAATTAGTTATTATACAAAATTTTAAATAGGTATTTTTGAAATTTATTATTTAAATATGATTTATGATTATTATATTATTATTATATTAATTATTTAAATAAACTTTTTTTGTTGAATAATTTTTACACAAAATTTTACAGTAATATTAAAATAAAAATTTGTTTATTTACAATTTCTCAATGACAAAATTAATTTATTTTATAACAATAAAATAAAAGTAAATAGAAAATTGAGTATAATTTCTTTTTTCAGTGTTCGAGAAACCCATCAAATTGCAGAGGCACAGCAGGAAAAAAATGCAATGCTACGAGAAGCTTTCGGAATTTCGGAGTATTTTAAGGAAGGTAGCAGTTTAGATCCGGAGCGTCATGCACGAGAAGCGGAAGCCAAGGCGGCTGCAATAGCGGCCGCAGCGGCAGCCGCTGCTGCTGCAAATAGTAAAGTTTACAAGATTGTTCGTACACCGAGTCCAGTACCCGAAGAAATTACAGTCGCTGAGAAAAAGGAAAAGCGAAAACGCTCAGGAAGCACGTCCAAGAAGAAAAAGAAGAAAAACAAAAAAGAACGGTAAATTCTTCATTACGTCTCAAGTCGAAAAAGCCTCGAGTCGCTGAAACTTTTGTTGCCTAATTGTCTTCTCTTCAATTGGCAAATTGTCTTGTCTTATTTTTCTCCCCGTACTTTAATTTTAATTACATGAAAAGTGAATATTATCACATTTTTTACTATCAAATTTATTAAAATTTATTTTGACGGAATCAAAATTCATGAAATTTACAAAATTAATTTTAAAAAAATTGAAAATTATCCAAAATTATGAAATTGATATTAGCTTTGATAAAAATGAGAATTTTTACAATTTATAAAATTTGAATTTATTGACATTTAATATGAAAATTTGAATAATATACCTAATTTCAATTAATCAAAAATTAAATCTAAATTCTTTTTGGAAAAAATTTGAATCACAATTTTGTACAGTAATTTATTATTTTTATATATTATTAAAAAGAAAGAAATGGAAAGGAAAAATTCAAAATTTTTAGATTAAAAGTAGATTTTGAAATTAAAGAGGAATTGAATAGACAGCAATGGATCAGAAGATTCAAGGCTTCGAGACTAGATCCTTGTAGAGATCCTTAAAAAATTAATTCCTTGAATGATTTTCCTTTACAATTCACAATTACGATCATATTTCCTTCGCTCTCAATTGAATTGCTTGGACGGTTACTGACTCATAAGTCTCATTTATTCACCTACTTTTTCATATCCCAAACACCTTTCTCTGTTTCAAACAGAACTGAGGAGGACTGAGTGTGTGCCTACTGAGTAGGCCAAGTAGGTAAGTGTGGTGTCGCGTCTAATTTCCTCAGTTTTTAAACAATCTTTTTTATTGTCTAACAAAAAAAAATAAAACCAAACTATTTTTCTATGGAACGATATCGATTGAGAGAACAAAAAATTTTATTAACAATATTTGTTTTAAAAAACAAAATATTTCAAGCAAGAAAGGAAAGCAATACAACTTTTATATTAATTATTTTTTTTTTTTTGTTATTAGATATTTTCGTTTCCATTTTTTAGAAAAAGTTAAACGAAAATCCATTCTTTAAAAAAGAAAAAGAGCCACTGCTTTTAAAAAATAGTTTATAACAATTTTAAATATCATGTTTTTTTGCTACTGTTTTGGATTCCATTTCCTGTTTGAAATAATCATAAAATATAATTTATATCGTCTTTTTGAAAAAGTTTTCTACTTTGAAATAAAATTTTACAATTTAAGAAATCGACATCGTTCGAATTTATAGTATAAAAAATTTTTTCATTAGAAGAACAATTTTAATAGCCATTTAAAAAAATAAAATTGAAATTTTTTTTCGTGAGGCATTAGATTCTTTTTTTTTAATAAATTCGGGAACTCGTCAGTGGCTAACGAGCCATTGAAGTAAATGTTTGCTAACGAAGTAAATGTAAATTATCAAATTTCTTAATTATGTAATTAATTTTCAGTTCTCGAAACTTGTGAATTAAAAAATTAATGAAGTAAATAATTTTCAAATTCATATTAAAATTAATTCAGTAATTAATTAATTACAGAATTAAATATGAAATTTTTTTTTAATCACTAAATTAATAATTAATTTCTTACTGAATTAATTACTTTAATTGAAGAATGAATTAAATTATAAATTAAATAAATTAATGAAATTATTTATAATGAAAAATTTGTTAAGTAAATAATTTAGAAATTAAATTTTTCCGATCTCGATTTTTAATTGGGCACAATTATTTTTTTCATAGCTACTAGGCAAACATTTACTTTATTTACGTTTTTATATCCAATTTGTTGGAGAATTAAATTATTTATCTTTGTTGTTGTTTATCGATAAAGCCTGTTGTTAATGTCATATCTCTATTTTTTTCTGACAAGTCCGTCCCTATCGATGGTTATCAAGGTAATACTAATCCCATATTATATCAATACTCCTCATATTTTTACGTACTTGTCATTTGTAATATTTTTGGAAGATGTGATTTGAAAAAAAATGCAATTCTTTAATTCTTTTGTTTCTTTTTTTCTGTTTACTGATTAAAAACAGAATTTTAATGAAAGTTGAAGGCAAATTACATCTTTCAAAAAAAAAAAAAAAAAAAAAAAAAAAAAAAAAAAAAAAAAAAAAAAAAAAAAAAAAAGCTGTTTTTGTAGTTGATTTCTTAGCTGTAGCCCAAGTGTTGCAAATGATCGTGAAAGTTATCTTGTGAAAATGCAGTGACTATTCTTATCACGAGCACACTAAAATTTATCAAATTTTACATTATTAATAAGCGACAATGTCTGTGAATTTTTTCATACAATCAAATCAGTACTTTGTGCATAAGTAGGTGATGAACCTTTTTAAAAATTTCACAAAGAATCAATTAACAATATTGTTTTTTAATTAGAAAGAATAAGTTTTTTTTATTTAATTTTTATTTTAAAATAAAATTAAATAAATTAAATTCAAAATTGTATTATTAATTTAATTATAATTTGCAGTATCACTTTTTAATTATTTGTGGAATTTTTCACAAAGGTTTTAAATATAAATCACGCTTTTTTTCTATTTTTTCATTTTCAATTGAGTGTCAGAATCACGCGATCTTTAATTATTCATATAGGAAACATCATTTGAAGATGAAAAATGTCCACTCGTTTAAATAAATCATTCGATATCAATTTCACTGTAATGTCCAATTTTTATTTGTTTGACGTGTTTTTTTTTCTTTTGTGATTCAATAAAATTCACATTAATATAAGTAATTGAATACATTCAATATTTTAATTCACATTATTTTTTTTTATTATTATTATTGTTCATCTTAGATTAAAATTTTGATTAGAAACTATTTGTCCACAAAGGTTCAGTACAAATAGCTTTTATATTGTCAGCACAAGGTTCGCACTTGTTTAAAACATCAGGAAGACGTCCATTGCAAGTTTATAAACAAAATTTTTAAATATTTGCAATGTCAAAAAATGACTTTTTTGTTTTTTTTTTTATTCAATGATATTTTTTAATTAATTTGCATTGCTTTTCTATAGGTCTGAATCGCCGAAAGTCAGTAAAAAGAAGGAAAAAACAAAGAAAAAGAAAAAGGAGAAAAAACACAAAAAGGCTGAGACTAGTTCGTCTGATGATTCAAGCGATGACAGCGACGATAGCAGGTAATTTTTTACTATTTAAAGAAAAAAAATTTTTTTTTACACTTTGAAATTAATTTTTAATTGATTACTAATTAAAATTTTTACTCTATTTTTTTGTTGATAGTTCTTCAGAGGTTGAGTCAAAAAAGAAGAAACGCAAGAAGAAGAAATCAAAGACAGAATCGAAAGAAAAACCGGAGGTAGGAAATACAGGGATTTTTATTTAATTAAAAAAAAAAGAAAATTTTTTTATTATCTTGACACGAAAATCGGGCGCATGCAAAATTTAGTTCCATTTCATTTCTCTCCATAATTAGATGCCTTATAGACATTTTTTAAATTATAAAATTCTCTGTTGTCACCTGTCCATGAAATCGCATGAATCATTGCTTGTTATTTTTCGTAACAAAAAAAAGAAACAAAAAAAAAATTAATTTGATTTCAAGTTAACGATCATTATTTCAAAGTGTAAATCTCAGTATTGTTTGTAATTATCAGCGCCATTTGACAGGATATATTCCCTGAGTGAGTACCCGATATGCCGCTACTCAATGTAATTTAATAATTTCGTAAAATTAATTCTCGTTTTTAAATTTTTGCGACTCTTGTATATTTTTTCACTTGTTTTGTGTCAAGCACCAGTATCGCAAAGAAAATATTATTTAAATTTCGACAAAATAATTTATGTATGCGTATTTGATATGAAAAAAATTTCTCTATCAAAATTGTAATTATTTCTTCAACAATATTATTTTTTACGTTCTTCAAGTTTAATTTTTTTTTCTTATTGTTTTAATTGTTTCGTTTGTTTTTCTTAAATTTCTTATTGCAAAGAAATGATTTTTTTTCAATTATCGAATAAGCAGACTTTAAATTTTGAAAAAATATCTAAACTAACTAGTTTGATTTGACTTTATCGTGAAAATGCATGATAATCAGTGTTTATCAACGACGACGAGTTCATTAAAAGATTACTATATTAGTTTTTTTTTCTTTTAGAAAAAGAAGGCCGCTAGTAAAAGGAAACGACAGTCTTCTGAAAGCTCCTCCGACAGGTGAGTGATTTTTTTTCTATCTCTTTTTATCGATTTTACATTGTACATAATTATTATTATAAAATATAACAAAAAAAAAAATTTTTGTTGCAGTTCGACAGAGAAGCCGAAAAAAGCAAAAAACAATAAAGCTGTGGATAAAACGAATGATAATGAGAAATCCTCTCGTTCGAATAAATCGCCAAAGAAACAAGAGAAGCAAGACAAAAATCGCAGTGAGATATCGACGACAAAAAAGAAAGATTCACCAGCTAAGAAAATTGTCAACGAGCGAAAAGAACGATCGCCAATTGTTGAGAAGACAATTCACAAAAGTCCTCGTCGTGATAGATCTCATTCGAGGTCTAGAAACGATCGTGGCAGATCACCGAGACGTCATTCACGATCAAGACGCACCTCACCGTCAACGAGAAAACGACGAATTTCCCGATCACCGAGACGTCATCGCTATTCAATTTCGCGTAGCAGAAGTCGCTCAAGAATTGATCGTAGCTATGGATCGCGAAGACGAGGAGCATCGTCAACCAAACGGCGAAGATCACGATCTATCTCACGTCGGAGATCAAATTCACGAAGAAGATCCACTTCACGGCGAAGGTCCGAATCTCGTAGAAAATCAGTATCACGACGAAGATCATATTCACGAAGACGATCTGATTCACGCAAAAGATCGAATTCAAGGCGTCGATCTGAATCACGCAGAAAATCAGTGTCACGACGGAGATCAAATTCACGAAAACGCTCGAATTCAAGAAGAAGATCCGAATCTCCATCTCGACGACGATCCATTTCACGAAAACGCTCCAATTCCCGAAGAAGATCTATTTCACGAAAAAGATCTCTCTCACGTCGAAGATCTAATTCACGAAGACGATCAAGATCAAGGCGAAGATCGAACTCGAGAAAAAATTCCATCTCCCGTCGACGATCCAAATCACCAAGGAATAAATCGAGACGTGAACGTCGTCGATCTCGCAGTCGATCGACATTGAGCTACTCGCCAGTGAGAAAGAATCCTGAGCGTTACGCGGACATTCTCCAGGATGAGAAGAAGAAAAAACCATCCCGTAGGTCACGATCAAGAAGCAAAAAGGCGCAAATAGTGGCTCCAAGAGTAAGTTTACGTTCGTCAAGTGAGGACGAGGGACAAATTGTCGACGACGAGCCAAAACCCGAGGACGATGAACAGAGACAAAGGGAAATCATCACATTACGACGTCTTCAATCGGGTTTAGCCGCAAAGGCAAGAGAATCACTCGGCAAAAAAGTTATTAGTCCCATTAAAATTAAAATTGAGACTGAGAATATTCTAGACATTGCACTTCCTAAGGACGATCCTCTAAAAGCAATGCAACTTCCGATTATTTTACCAGAGAATAAAGTTTTACCTCCAGTGCAATCGCCAGTCTCGAGTAGATCGCCATCTCCAGCTCTCCCTCTGACTCGCGAGGAAGCAATCATTAAAATTCGTTCACCAAGTGAATCGCCACCAAATTTATCGAACAAGGAAATTCGTTTTGAAATGTCAAGCAGTGCAAAAAGCAATTCATCACCATTGCAATCGAAGAAGCACAATCTCTCTTCTTCTTATTCCACGTCATCATTGTCGATTATTCCACCGACGCCAATTGGCATTTCGAATAAAATTATCATTATTTCCTCCTCGTCGCCGTGCAATTCAAAAAAAAGTTCACCCGAATCGAGAAAACATTGTTCGCCAAGGAATAAATCTTATTCGAGATCACCATCAAGATCGTACACGAGATCATTGTCACCGGACAAGAGATCAAATCGTTCACGTTCTGGTTCTAGAGATGAGAGATTACGTTCATTGTCCAAGGAAAGAAAATCAAGATCGCCGAGAAATCGTTCGAGATCACATTCAAGATCAAAAGAATCGCCAAAATCATCTATCAAGAGATCAAGGTCGAGATCTTCGTCGCGATCCAAATCAAGATCAATTTCACGATCGAAAAAATCTAATTCACGATCACCAATTAAATTACGATCGAGAAGTCGATCACCCTCGAAAAAGTCAACAAGTCGTTCTCCGTCGAAAAAGTCGAGGAGCCATTCACGATCAGCGTCGAGAAGTTCTCGATCATCCATCAGGTATTTATATTATAAAAATTATTTTTGTATGATTAGGGCAATTTAATATTAAACTTACTTTTAATATATTTTATTTTTTTATTTCCAAATTAGTTTCTTTAATTTAGAAACAAAAATTTACTGTTTATATTTCATCCAAAATCGTGGCATTTTATTTTTAGAAAAATGTGATTTCAACTGAACTTTAAAATTCAAATCCCTAATTTAGAATTAGTCTAAAATTGTTCATCAAATTGAGAATTTTTTAAAAAAAAATACAAGGTAATAATTCACCTTTTTTCTTAACTATTAAATTTTCAGAAATATCATTTCTCAAAATCGACATATTGATTATTTTAAGAGAAGCAATAAAATTTTGAAAAATCTTAATTTTATCAAAACTATGTTCTCTAAAATGGCCAAAAAATGCAATAAAAAAATATAACATCGTGTGATCATTAAAATTTAAAGGGGTCAAAATAAAGGTGATTTCTTCCCTTAAATAAAAAAAAAATTGTGATAACTAGATTTTTAGTCAATTTTGACGTTATAAGATTTTTTGAAAAAATCAAAATATAACAGCAAATTGTGAAAATAAATTTTAGATTTGATTTTTTTACAAACTGAATTTTTGAAAAATTATTTAAATTTCAGCAAATAACATTTTTTAAAAAATTTCCCATTTTTTGATAAATTGAGTTCTAACAATAATTTTTTGTCCAATTTCGATTCCTTAAAAAAAAAAAGTTTACGTCACACTAAATTTCAAGTCTATAATACAATATATTAATTTTCTTTATAAAAAGGCACGAGAGTTTTTGTTATAAATTTTCTCCAAATTAAAAAATCCGGAATAGAATATTCTCCCAATTATTATTTGAACAAATAGTAGAAGAAAATTATTTTTAATATATAAATTTTAAAAATTGTAAATTTAACATAAGCTTTATATTTAAATTATTATTCCAATGTTTAAAGAGACTGACTTTTTTTAAATTCAGCAAAATTTAAAAAATGAATGTAATTAATTTAAACTATTGATTCAAAAAAAATAAGATTCAATTTCCTGAAAAAAATCGATTTTTTAAAATTAAATAATTTAAAAACTTAATTATTGGTAATTTAATCATTTTTAAATTCAATAATTGTAATGCACAATTTTTTATTTAATTTTATAACAATATCGTGTACATTGTTAAAAAATTTATTTAAAAATTTATTGTACGCATATTTTTTATATTTATATAATTTATAAAATTGTTTAATTGTTATTTATTATTATAAATGTATCACAAACAACTTTGGGTGAAATATAATGAATTGTACTCATCATATTTTATTTTAATAATAAAAAAACTGTTTCAGTACCAGACGGAGTCGCAGGAGTTTCTCGAGCTCGTCTCGATCATCAAGCAGCCTTTCGTCGCGATCTTCTCGATCGTCTTCGAGTAGCTCACAATCGAGAGCATCACGTTCTCCATCGATACCACGTCGTCATGGTTCACCCAGCTTCCTTGACAGACGTCGTATCACCAGGTAAACAATCGGTTACATTAATATATCGTTCAATGTTTACCGTAGCTTTTTTTCAATATTGATTAATTTTTCAATTGCACTGAGCTCATATATAATTATTATTATTATTATTATTATTTGTATTTTACATCACAGTTGCATCTGTGAAAATAGTCGATTGTAGTCTTGTACATTATTTTTGTTCTCCAATATTATATTATATTCGCTTACTTAGAATTATAATAATAATATAATTAATTTCAATAAAAAATTATATTATAGAGAATTTTTTTCCGCAGTAAAAGAAAAATTCGTCCCATTGGTATATGTATATACATATATATGCCATATTAATTATATAATTTACGAACGAATTTAGATTTTTTGTTTTTGTAAAATTTCCCTTTCGATATAATATAAACATATTATTATATATGCATAATCTAGATGTAGCATGCGTGTATTTCCCTAAGTTATTCGATATTCACTATACTTGAAAGTTGTTGTTTTCCTTTTAATTTAAGTCAATCACGAATAAAAACAAAGGGTTCTACAAGTAAAGCAAGCATTTTATTTGTTTTTTAGTTAATTTTTTGTTTTTTTTTTAATCTTTGTGTTGTAGTTTCTCATGTCTCTTTTAATCAGCAACTCTTTTTAAGAAAAAAATTCTCAGGTAAGTGACGTCAATTTTATTTTGCGCTTTTAATATTCTTTCGCCTTCTTTGCACGAATCCACAAATTCTTTTGCATGTTTTTTTTTACATTTTTATTTGTATATCTTTTGCCAGTAGATTAAAATTCGTAAAATTTTTATATTTATACATTTGCAGAGTGTATTTTTTATTGCAAATAATTTTTTTATATTTATTCTAAAAAAAAAATTTATTTTATTTACCAACTAAAATACTAGAAAAATGTAGATAAATTCAAGTTGAGAATATATGACAAATTTACATAATATTATAATAACATATTATACAGTTATTGATCATTTTAATAAAATTAATATTAATTTTCATCTACTAATATTTTCCGTAACCTGTAACAACATTTCTCTCGACTAAATTTTATTTAAAGGAACAAAGTTTTTTTTTGCGTTCGATGCGGTCAGAAAAAAAGATGAAAGTATTTCCAAAGTAATTTTTCTTCTTTTTTTTTAAATAATTATATTTTTTCCTTACAATTGTAATTTCTTATTTTTTAAATTAAAATTTCTATTTTTTCGAACGCAAATTAAAAACTTCGGATCTCTTTAAAGTTTTTTAAAAACAAATTTATTGATAAACGTTCATTTCAGTGCTAGAAAAAGACCGATTCCTTATCATCGGCCAACACCATCACCTCCATCATCGCCAAGCAGTTCCGAGAGCAGCAGACATTCCGATTGGTCTAGTCCAAGTCATAAATCAAGTCGATCACCAACTCGTAGTCCATCTTACATTCGTTAAAATAACTTTTTTTTTTTATCAAGAAAAATATTTATTAATTTTGTAAAGATGGAAAACGATTTTTGATCAGCAATATTAGTGAAAAAAATTGTATATATATAATTTTTATTCTTTTGATTGAAATTAAAAATTTTTATTTTTTAATTTAGAGATCAAAAAAATAAAAATTGTTCACAATTTTTTTTTTAAATACTCCTTTTTTGAGCTAGTTTCATAAAAATTCCAATTTTTTAAATTCTAAAATTTCTCATGGGACATTTTATTCCCAATGAAATTTCTTCCTTTTAACATTCCATATTTATCAATAATTTTCAGAAAAATTATCTCTCCTTCGTTTTATCAGGAGAAAAAAATCAATTGTTTTTTCTCCCAATTGCCTGCTTTCTTTATATACACAAAACTATTTAAACATAAATTTTACACGAATTTATACAACTATTGAAAGTCCTGAGATTTTTATAGTCGAAAGATTTTTCTCAGACGTGGCTGGGAAAAATTCAAGATAATCTACTTGCTCGTTAGGAAAAATAAAAATTAGGCAAGAGACCATCTTGATGTATTAATATATCAAATAATTTTTAATTAAATTAAATTAATTAGTGGTTTCATAAAATTAAATTAATTATCATAAATTGAAACTTAATTAAATTTATACAGATTTAAATTTAATTAATTTCCAACAATAAATTAATTCAATTTATTAAACGATAAATTAAATTAATTTATTTTATATGTATAAAATAATTAAATTTAATTAAAAATTGATAACGAATGATTCTAAATAGTTAAATCAGACCACGAAGCTCATTAATTAGTTGCTATTGGCTTTTTCTTTTAAAATGCCACTAGTAATTGTCATCTTCTATAGACTCTCATTTTCCAAAGAAAAAAAAAGAAAGAAAATAACAAGTAAATAAATATAAAGATAATTTCTCTCTAGTCTGTATATTTAGGGCGATTAAACTTTAATGATGTTTGTTATACAAACATAATCTAGTCGAATTTTTACAGTCAACTCGACATATTAGGCAAAAATAGATATTTCCCTCAACTTTATTGATCAATGTCTGAGATTATTGTGATTCGATATTTTTAGTGCAATGTTATTCACAATTTTCATGTGTACATAAAGTACATAATTATTTATAAAAAAAGTATCTTTTAGTGCAATTAGGTTTTTTTCATTATTTTTTTTTTACGAAAAATCTATTTTTTACAAAAACTTATTTATTAGTGAATTTAACTCCATCCATTCCAATATTTCATATTTATGAATAAAACTAAGTTTTATTTATAAATATTAATAGAAAATAATAATTATTAATTAAAATTTCTATAATTATTCTTTTCGAAAAATATGTTTTTATTGATTTTATTTCCATTTTTTTACTATATTCTTGAAATTAATCATTTTTTCGTTTAGTTTTATAAAATTATTTCCAAATTAATTGTACATAAAAGTGAATATTTATTTATTATTATTATTATTTATATTATTACCTATTTATTTATTGATAAAATAATATATTCGTCATAAACTCGCAATACTCAAGAAAAGGCATCGAACTAATGAAAAAGAAAACGTTTATACAAACGAAAAAAGTAAGTTTTTTTTTGTTATATATAATAATCAGCTCAATGAATCTCAATTGATTCGATGCCTGAAAAGCTCTAGTCACTGATATTAATTTATTTAATTTTTTTATTTATTGACCAAAGGTCAGGCAGCATAAGAAAAAAAAGACATTTTATGATAGACTCAATTTTGAAATCCCCTAAACCCCTTCCCTTAAAAAATAAAAGCTGTGTAGCATTAATCCTCATCCAACGACTGAATGTTTATCTTCGTTCCCGAAACTTTTTGTCGTGCCAAGAAATGATAAAATTTGTAGAAATGTATTTTGATTTTTGTAATGTTGAAATATTCATCTTTAATATGGCAATCGACAGAAATAAGTTTTTTTTTTTTATTTGTTATGGAAATTCATACGAATTATGATCATTTCAATGACAACAAAAAAAATGTTATTATCGTCGTTAAAGTGGAGATCTTATATCTGTAATATACTCTGTATTGTTGTTGTGTGATTAAATCAAACTGCTTACAGAAAAAAGGACCTCAATTTTCCCTCCTAAGTTTTATGGTAATTATTTTTAAATAATTTAATTTGTTTCCGAAATTTTATGTTAATTATCTACATTTAAATTTATTTTTAAAATTTTATGGTAATTATACAACTATTTGAATTTTAATTTCCACAATTTCTTAATAATAAAATTTAATTGGCAATTTTACAGTAATTCACTTAGAATATAAATTGACATTGATTTACATCAATAAAAATTACAGATTAAAAACTTTTATCAATATTTATAAATAGTCATTTACACTGGAATGTAATATCTAAATAATAAGCAAAAAAAACAAAAATCTTTAAAAAACTATGGCTCTATACACTATTTAAAAGTGTTTCACTTATTTTTTGTGAAACTTTTGATAATATATATATATATAATATGTATATATATATCGATTATAAAAATTATCGTCTTTGACTTAGTTTTTTCTCACGTGGAAAGACATCGTAGAAGAGTTAATTAAAAAAACAGTAGATATAGTATATGCAATTATTTTTAAAACCTTGAACCTCTGGAAGATAGAAATTAAATTGAAAATAAAAACATTAGTTTCTATAAAATTGTAAAAGTATCACCATTCCTGTTGCTTTCAAGTCTCAATAGTCGAGGAATAAATTTTTTTTCTTGGATGGAAAATTAATCTCTCTGTTACTTATATAAAGAGAAATTTACATATTTCTTGATCTATCTCTCGTAACTTTGGCACGTTGATTCGCTAGATAAATCGACCAGAGTAATCCAACCACATTGACGAATAAAACACGTAACTGCAATGAACATATTCATATTTTATTTATAAATTAAAAAGCAAAATCAAAACTTTTTTGAATATTTCTATTAATTTTTCTACATAAAAAAATTATTTTTAAAATTACCAATGGAGGAACAAATCGTATATTAATATACTGCAATAATGTGAGATATTTGAGATTTGCAACAAGAGTAGGCCAATAGAGTTTTTTCAACTGGTCCTGTGAGATTTCATGTGATTTTCCCTAAAAGAAGAAAGTATTTTTTATTTTTATTTCTATTTTCTGAAAATTAGAGAAAGCAAGAATACTCTAAATTTATACCTCGAATCGAGCGAGCATGTAAAGAGCAAGTGCTATAAATGCTGGAGTGTACAAGAATCTCTCAATTAATAAAAATCCCAATGGATGTCGAACAAAACGTGTTACGTACATATAAAAATAATGAGGAACTGGTCCACCAATCAGAAGCCTAAAAAACAATTAATAATTAATTTTAAATTAAATATTTAACATTCCTTGATAAAAAATTCAAAAATACTAAAAAGTTTAAAAAAATATTAAATTGATTAATTGATAATAAAATTTATACTTTTTATACTTTCAGTAAAATTAAACTAAAAAATAAGTTTTTCATTTCGAAAAATGAAATAAATAAAATTCATATAATTTAAATGTATTTAATAATGAAATTTATAGAAATTATAATATTATAATAATTCAAAAACTAAATATGCTAATATTCCAAAAATACTTACCCAAATAATGCAAAAGCCACTAAACTATCCTGATTTAAGTATTTCGTTCCCGACAATTTTTGAGAAATTAAATTTCCCAATGTAGCAAAAACACAACTGTCAACAAAAATATATTCATTTACAATTTATTTGCAACAAATCTGTTTATCTTAGAATTAAAAAAAAATATTTTACCAGTACAAAAATCTGCTATAATAACAATTAGGTAAAATTAATAATAAAATAAAATAAAAAGTTTAACAATAATAAATATACTAAAATATACATAAGTAAAATTTAGTAAATAATAATACAAAATATATAACAATAAATATTTTTTAACAAAAGAAATTATTTAGATAAATTAATTGTTGTAAAAAATTGGTATATAAAAAAAAGAATGAGAATTTAAAAAATAATCTAACCTCGTAATTGCTTTTGTCTTCAGAGGACTGGTATAAAGTCTTTGAAAATATGCTCCAACGAGTTCGTAAATAATATCCCGTGGCTTTGAAAGAGCCATTTTTCCTCACTTATAGCAAAAGACTGCTAAATTAGAACACTGATGTATAATAATTATATTGCAATACCGAGGTATGTAAATGTTAAACGATCAAAGTACGCGAATAGAATTTTTATCTTTTATATCTTTATCTGATTGACAGATTACACACTTATTTTTCAATACTTAATATGATTTGTAATTAAGCACTCATTAAATTTACACTATATTGCAATTAAAAAGAAACAATTCTATATTTACACAAAATTTAGAAAGCTTCAAAAACCACCGGTTCATTAAAAAATAAAATATTTAACCTAACCTATAAGATGTTGGAATAAGAATTAGATGGACTGAAATTAAAAACTTGTTTATTTTTATTAATATCGTGAAACCTTTTATTAATTTTAAATAATTATATATTATTAAATATTTATTTTTTAAAAATTAAATATTTTATTAAAAGTCCTTTTCGTTGAAGAATTATTTTTATTTTCAATTGTAGTTCAAAATTTTTCCGACCTATTAATGGCGCCATAAGTAATTTCTTGTAAGCACGGTCGTATACAGGTCCCGAAACCCATGGGATTAAGTTATATCTTTAATTATTATTTTAAAATTAATTATATTATTAAATATATATAATAAAGTATTATAAATAAAAAGTATGACGAAAAAATTAGTATAAATTTAATTTTTAGAAATTAATTAAATTATATAAATAAATTGTAATTTTTTACGATTTATAGAAGCAAAAAATATTTTGGATTATTTATATTATCATTATTATTATTTATAAAATAAATAATGAAACTTGCGAGTTGTAAAATTATTATAAAAAAGAATTTTACAACCTCACAGTGTAAAAATTCATTTCTAGTAATATAAAACTTCTTTTTATTTTTTTAAATTTAGTGTGTACAGTTTTTTTTTACAAAAGAAACAGAAAAACATTTAATAAATCTAAACAGATCGGCGACACTAGGTCCGTATAGACTATAATTATACATATTATTAATATTAATAATACAGTAAAATATATCGTAATTATAGAATAGTATAATTATCATGAATCGCAATAATAATTATTTAATCGTAAATTTATCGTGTGTCAAATATATACATTTTTAGGTCAGGTATCAGTCTCTGTATAAAAGTGTGTGTTTTGTGTGAGTGTTTTATTTGTTGCATATTATGTGTATTTGGTTTATTATAATGTTTATGTGAGTGTTTTTTTGTATATGTGTATTTTTTTTATTTATGTTTTTACGGACCAGTTCTTACAGATTCTTTCATTGAGAATTAAAGAAGTAGAAAAAAAAGAAATCACACTCGTTACATCACCATCGATCAAAGCATCGTTCAAACTTCATTCTTTACCTTTTTCTAATTTTAATACTTTTCAACTTTTGTGGCAAAAAAAAATCTCCTTTTTCATTATTTGATAAGCAAAAGAAAAATTTCTTTGATTTCATTCAAAGAAATATTTCTTTTATGAAAAAATAGAAAAATGATTGAGCGATTTTTTTTTTTTTTTTTTTTTTTTTTTTTTTTTTTAAAGAAAAAAGGAAATTTTAAAGTCCACTTTTCTTTCTTGTTTGTTTGTTTTTTATTCGTAGATCGCATACATTTTTTAAAACCATTGTTTCAATTTTCAAATTACAAATCAAAGAGAAACATTGATTTGTACGAACGTTTTTTTTTATCAATATTGAATCGCTTTTCATAATTTTTATTATTTGACGAGGAAATTTTACTCGTTCCTCGAAGCTAAAATTGAAAATCGAACGTTGACAATAATATTTGCTTTTTCTTTTGTACACACACAACGGTTTAACACATCGAAAAAAAATATAACAAAAACAAAGAAATATTTTTTTTCAATAAATACATTATTTATAGTGCATCGCATGTAAACGAAAATTTTTACGAGTAAAACTCCAAAATGTTAGATAAACTATATATCGACTTAGAGTATTAAAATCGAAATTCGAGAAACATTTTTCTCGAGTTACAAAAAAAAACAAATATATAATAGAGGTAACGTTTCTTTTTTTTTAAATAACAAAAGACAAAAATTTAATTACAAAGAATATAAATCGAATATTGAATATTAAAAATAAAACAAAAATTTTTTTTCGATATTTTTTTTTCTTTGAAATATATTTTAAAATACAAAAAGAAATAAAAATCGTTTCTTCTCTTTTTTTTCAAAGTCTTCGTGCTTGGAAGCATGAAAATATATAAGGTACTACTTTTGGAAACTTAAGTCTCCATGTTCTGTTATTTTCCATCTCTCGTTCCTCGGTACTTTTCTCTTTTTTCTTTAAATTTTTCTCTTTTTTTTGCCCACCAGGAGCAAAAAAATGTCGACGGATTCTGCCAGCCAATGAGGGACTAGCTTTCTAGTTTTGTTTTTTTGTTTTTTTTTTATTTTTCAAGCGAGCAAGGCACAGGATCTCTAAGGACTCAAGGTGCAATGCTATGAAGGAACTACTCAATTGTTCCATGCTCTAAAACGTCTCGTCAGCAGCAGCACCAAAATGTTATCACTGGAAACGAAAACGTCTAAATGTGCGACATTGAACGAGTTATAAAATACAGGATTCATCAATAAATTTTTTAGTCTCAAATAAAAAATGAAATAGAAACGAAATATTTTTAAAAAAATATAATTTTTCACAAGTTTCACTGTATTCATTGCTATTATTCCGAACTAAATAAAAAAATTTTAATTTTCATCATTAAAAAAAAAATGTTTTCTTTTTAAATACTGAGAAACAAAATGAAATTACGTTTCCAAGTTTTTTTTTTCAAAAAAATTCATAAAAAATTCTTTTTTCTTGAAGAACAAAAAATTTTTTAATTTTCACTTTTTTACTTCTGAATCCTGATAATGTCGTATGATTGGTTTTGTTGTGGAACAAACGGTAATAATAAAACGCTATGTTTTTACGTACGCATGCGTAAATGTGCTCTTGAAGATAAGAAAAAAATGTTTGTTGTTAAAAAAAATTTAACGAATGTTTTTTTTTATTCAATCACATGTTATAATAAAAATCGAAAATTAATGTTCTAGATGAAAAAAAGCACACATGCGAATACGTACGTTCTTAAAATATGTATAAAAATAACAATATGTCGAGCTAATTAGCACAAATTATCCACAAACATCGATTTTTATTATGTACACGCATTAACAATTATGTACTTTTATATATAGTAAAAATGATATTTTAAATTAAATTTTTTGTCATTAATTATAAAACATTTTTTTGATTAAATTTTTCAGATAACTATAATTTAATCAAAATAATTCTAATTGGTAATAAATAAGTAATTATATAATTGATACTTAATTTGATAACAAAAATATAAATATTATATATACGTTATTAAAAATTCCAAGTGAATTTTTTACTTTCAATGTAAGAAATTTACTTGAATAAAGCAAATAAATAATATATTATTGCTTTTATAAGAAAATCTTCTTAGGACGGAAATCACTTCTTAAATAAAATCTCTCTTCTTATTCATTCAGTTTTTTTTAACATTTTTTTTTTTAAATTTTTATTTCTAGTTTTACCCTGAATTTTCGAAATAAAGAAAATCTCTTTTAAATTTTACAATTTCTCAATTAATGATCTGTCTTTGAAATATTTTTCTAATATTCTTTATAATTTTTCTTTTATTCTTTATAAATATTATTTTTACCAAATTTCTTTAAATAATTCCCATTTAATAATGTTTGAAAAATTATTTTCTTTATCATTCTCTTCATTCTTTTATATCATTTTACATTTAGTAGCTATATTTTCATTTTCTGCAGCAAAAACTTTGGAAAATCTTTCAAAAATAAAAAAGTACAATATACATATATATCAATATTTTTAAAGGAAAGACTTTCAAATTCTTGACTTTTCCCCTAATATTTGTATCTTAGCGAAGAAAACTGTGAAAATTTGTGCTAACTTTTAAGGCTCATGAAAATTGTTATAATATGGTAAAAATAACACTGAGGAAGCTTTTCAAAAATATCCCAGACAACATGTCTTCTAATTAATGAGTGTTAAAATAACTCATTTTTTTTCAACCTCTGAGAGGCCAAAACAAAAAAAAAATACATCTTTTCTCTTTGGTATTTTGCATGTTGTTTGGGTTTTGATAAATAATAATAATTAGTGGCAATGACATGCAGGGAAAGAGAGAAAGAAAAGGAAAAGCGCGAAAAGCCTTCATGCCTGTTTAGTTAAGGCTCTACAGCTAATTATACAGAAGGTTTGTTTGTTTGTTCTTTTTTTTTGTTCTTTTGTTTTTGTAAGGACAGTATAAGTCTGTTATAATCTAATGACACATAAAATTACGGTGTTGTTAAATTTGTCAAAAAAATGAAAAAAAAACCTGCATCCTTACTTGAGACGCAAAATAACTCGCTTCATCTTCACCAGGCATGTCTTGACGATACATCTACACAAGCTAAAAACAACGATCTTTTTATCAATGGCTTTAACCTTTCCTTGTGTCAGAGTTTATTATTATTATTATTTTTTTTGTTAAATGTATTTTTACGATTACCAATTATTCGCTTGTCCTCATTAATAGGGGACAGAGGATGGCTTGAATTCAAGTTTTTACTCGAATCAGAAAGTCAGACAAATTTGGAGCGTCTGTAAATTAATCTCAGAACTATTGTTTTTATTATGTCATAAATTTTAAATTTTCATTTTTTTTTAAATTTTTGCATTATTTTTTATTTATTTATTAGTTTGAATATATTTATTTTCAATTAAGTTTGAAATTTTTAATATTTTCCAATAATAATTTCGAATTGAAAAAAATTTTTCTTTTTCTTTAAATTTTATAATTTACAGACGTCCAAAAATGTTCGCAGAGCTAAACATTCTTTCAGCCTAACAATATTGCAAGCACATGGAAAAAATTTTTGCCTGCGTTTTATACAAGAACGACACATAGATAGTTTTGCTCCAACTTCGCGAACAAACGTACAAGAAATATCTCCTCGGACGAAAAAGCCTACTGACTCCAAAAAATTCGCATTGAGAGCGCTCATGCGAAAACTGTTTATACAGTGTATTTTTATTTATTCATTTTTAATATTAATATGTCGACGAAGTGATTTTAATGCTTTAAACGATGAAACTCCCTAAAATTTCTTAGTGCAACTTTTATATTCTCTAAATACTATCTTTGATCCCAGAGATGCAGAATTTTTAATCTCAGGTACATCTCATTGTACTCTACATTTCTATAATACAATTAAATAAAAATTTAAAAAAAAGAAAACCAAACCCAACAAAAATACTTTTTTTTGTGAAAGTAACTTCCATATACTTTCAACTTTTCCATAAGAAAAAAAAATCAATTTTCAATATTTTAAAATAAACTCAACACAAAATTCCAATAATATCTGTGAATGAAAAGTTAAATAAAATTTTTGAATAAATATTTAACAAAAATTTGAGGATCGACATTATTTAAAGAATTTTCCGTAAAAAAAAATTCGAAAAATATATTCTCTGGGACATGAAAGATAATTTTAACAACATTCTTCAATAATAAATTAAAGATGTGGGAAAAACTTAGAATTCAATACAATTCGAAGTATACTGTTTTTTTTAACGATTCTACTTGAATTCGAATCTTTGAATTGCAACTACTCAGGAAATTATTATATTCACTGAAATCATTTTGTTTCGAATTAATTTTTTTTCACTTAACGAATTATTGAAGAATTATAAGAAAATGGATAAAAATTCAAATTTAAAATAACATTGCAAATTAGTAGAAAATATACAAATTGCAATGAAATGAAAAATTCAAAACAGTCACCATTTCTAATTCAATTCATAAATTAATTCTTTGATTCTAAACAAAGAAAAAAAAATTGATTCGAAATAATTTCAAATCTCAATTCGCACACGTCAATTACGCACACATTTATAATAATTCATCAAAATAAAAAATAAATATTTTCCAGAAAACTGCATCTCTGTTGAGGATCTCAGCAGTTTTTTTTCAATGCGAATTAAACGTGCGCAGAAAAGAGGCATATGTATATACAATTCTCGAGAACAATTTAGTTCTAATGTGGGGGAAAATGATGGGGGGGGGTCAGTAAATAAGTGAAATTTGGTTAGTGATTGAATAAAAATATGAAAATCATCGAATTTTGGGAAATGATATACATATGCATTAATGCATAAATAAAAAAAAAAATTAAAAAAAAATAAAAAAAAAAAAAAAAAAAAACACCGTCCTCGATGAGAGACGAGATTCTTGAATGAGAGAAAAGTTAGTTTCGCTGTTAGATCAATCGTGTGACCCGCGATGGACGTGTTTTTATCGTTTACTCCTTGTTAGGTTGCTCAACACATCGATTAACTGCAAAGGTTTCAATAAGGTCTCAAGTTTTTTTTTTACCGATGATAATTTAGTAATTCACTTTAACACCGAGCCTACCATGTTGTGGTCGCCAATGACAGCAGGCGAGGTACAGAGCCAAAATGATGACCAACACTTCGATGAAGACCAAACCAGCGCACACGCCAATTATTATCTCTGCATTATTCTCAATAGCTTCCACCAATTTTTTGAAACATCCCTAAAATAAAAGTCCCACTTTTTTTTAACAATTCAAAATACACATCAATAAATTATTAAAAATTATAATTTTTTGAGAAAATAAGAATTTTTTTTTAAATTTCAACAAATTTAATTTAATAATAATAATTAAAATAAAAAAAAAATTAAAATTGACCTAAAAATTAGTTAATTAGTTAAATTTGAAATAAAGTAAAAAAAGTTAAATATTTATCACATTATTCAGACAATAATTATTTCTCAATATTTGTTCCATGTTCAATAAATTCATAAAATGATTTTCAATTATAAAAAATTGATAATTTGTATAGTTATAATTGTGAAATGATAAATAAAGATTTCAAAATTGTATATACAAAGTACACGAATAATCACTGCAATTAGTAACAATTTTTAATGAGAACAATCAGAATGGAGTTCGTCATATAGTCAAAGTTTGCTTGCATAATGAATATATACATTATGGAAAGCTGTTGGTTTAAGATAAGCCAATAATTGAAAACGAATAGATTACAATGAAGCAAAAATACCTCTATATTACGATGGATAATTATATTATGAAAGAAAAATTAAATTTCACAATTAGTTCATAAAAATTAGTCAATTAATTCAATGTAAACTCATTAAATTGAACAATGAACAAAAAATTTTAATATTTCTCACAAACTTTATATATAGGTATATATATAGATTCTTCAAATACCTTATTTATTTTATAACTTTAGATTTATTTTTTCTCATTAAATTTTTATTAAACTGAATTAAAATTATTTCTTAAAAATAAAAAAAAAATGCTTTTTATTTAATACTCTAAATAAAAAACAATTTTTTAAAAATTAAAAAAAAATAAAAATTTTATCAAACTATGACCTTTTTTTAATTTCTTTGATTTAATATTTACAAAAAAAAACTTTTGGCTTGACTTACCGTTTGATAGTTAGAGTTATCGTCTGTTGGATTAAAAATGCAATTTGAATCCAGTCCTCCTTTTTTACAGCAGGCTTCCGGTACTGTTTTACGTTGGGTCCAATTCGTAGCATATTTAAAATCATTATAGTTTTCGACACCGCAGCATTGGAACTAGAAACAAATAATCAATAATTGAAGGATTGAACGAACTTACCTTAAGTGAAGATCAATCCAAATTGTATGAGCTGTCTCGTCCGAATAGATCAATTTTCGTAGTCCCGCCGTACTGATCGTTCCACCACAGTAATTTTAAAACTCAAGAGTTTTTGGCGCCTTCGGTAGGTGTCGCCCTTGTCGTACTTCCCTTTTCCGTCATTATATTTTAAAGTTTAGCATAAATCGCACTGGGTATTTTATTTTGAATATTTTGGGTAGGGAGGGTTTGATCTATTCGGACGAGACAGCTCATACAATTTGGATTGATCTTCACTTAAGGTAAGTTCGTTCAATCCTTCAATTGTATTTCACTGTCTCGTCCTCAAGATCAATTTTCGTAGTTGTTTAAAGTTTGTATGCGAATTTATGCTATTTTTATATTGAATATATATTTATTAATCACTCATTGTAATTAAGATTACAAGAACACAGAAAACGAGGTTTTTTTTTTTTTTTTTGAAAAGAAAAAATATTATGCACATATGTAAATGAAAAAGAGTATTATTTGAAATCGGTTTGAGATTATTTTTGTAAAATAGTCGATGCGAAAGTCGTTGAATCTGCTAATGGCCGGTTGTAAAACCTGGCGAACATTGAGGACGTTGCAGACCATCCAGCTGCACGACGAATTATTTCTATATTTGTCCCTTTCCGGGCTGCCGCTGAAGTCGCTGCGTGGCGTGTACTATAGGCTGAAAATATTTTTGTGTTGACTCCGCTTTTTTCCAGTATTTCTTTTATCCATCTGCTCAGTGTCTGCGACGTGGCTGGATGGTGAGGCTTTTTATAAGTCAAGAACAAATTTCCAGTACTTGATGCACCTTTTCTTAGTGCTGTCGTTCTTTCTATGTAGTCGCGTAAAGTTGTTACTACACATAACTCAGGTTGTTCCGTAAAAGTTGGAACTTCTAAGCTCGGCTGAAACTTGCTGCGACTTGATGTTTTTATAGGATCCGTTATTTTAATTCTGACAGGTTCCGAATTTAAATTGATATTTTCTAGCCTTATTACGGTCAATGTTTGTATCCGCTGCGCTGTAGTGAGTGCTAATAACGTCACTAATTTCTTTGTTAACATCTCTAAGGTCAGGCCCTCATGAGGATACCAGGTGGTTAATTTATTTAATACAGGCTTTGGATCCCACGTTACATCATATTTGTATTTCTTAGGCTTTAGCACTGCTGCTCCTTTAAAAAACCGTGAAATGTGTTTGTTATTTCCTAAGTCGCCACCTGCAATAAGAGATAATGCCGCTCTATAAGTATTGATTGTGCTGAAGGAATTGACACTCTCCAGGGTTGTCGTGAAAAAATTCAGAGCATCCGAAATTGCGACGTCGTATGGATCATTGTTTCCTTCCTGACAATAATTCCACCATGATTTAAGGGGTTTGCTGTATTGGCGCAAAGTACCTGCACTGATGGAATTCAGCATCACCTCCGCGGCTTCTTCTGTGGCACCTCTCATTTTGAATGCTTCCCTGATAAACACGCTGCTACCAGGGAAAGATTGTGACACAGAGGGTGCGTTTTCCTGTGAGGAGAAGATAATAAAGTTAATTGTGGTTTAAAAAGAATTTTTTCTGAAACTATCAAAGACGTGAACAGCGGATACCACGGTTGTGTAGGCCACAAGGGCACTACAACAACACCTTCCGCTTCATCCGTCTGAATCTTTTTCAGTGTTTGTAAAATTACAGAAAAAGGAGGAAATGCGTAAAAATGATAATATTTCCAGTTCATAGTGAACGCGTCTATTTGCATTGAGTCGGGATCTCTATGCCATGAGACATAGTTTTCGCATTTGGCATTTGCCCTTGAGGCAAAGAGATCCACGTCGAAAGGTCCAAAAGTTTGGTTAATTTTACTAAATGCCCAGGGAGCTAATTCCCACTCCGTTTCTTTTGGTAAACTTCGCGATCCCTCGTCTGCTTCTTTATTTTCTTTAGACGGTAAGTATGTTGCATGTAACCATAGGCCACGCTCCTCACACCAATTCCAAATCTGACGCGCGATTTGTGATAGTCGTGGGTGTTGAATGCTTCCCATTCTATTAACGTAAGCAATGGACGTCGTATTGTCCATTCTGAGCAAGATTTCACAATTTTTGTCGTTTTTAACAAAGCATTTGAGACCCATGAATGCAGCCATGAGTTCTAATGAATTTATATGAAGGTTGCGTTCATCAGCATTCCATAACCCACAGGCTTTCTTACCTTCACAGAAAGCACCCCATCCTGTCAAGGATGCGTCTGTGAATACTTCTTTTCTGTAATTATTTTCCCTAATTGGGTTACATGATTTTTTTATGTTTTCAGCCCACCATTCTAAATCGGACTGAACCAGGTTTGATAGCGTGATCTTAGCTTTATAGTTATTATTTGATTTTTCTAGCGATAAGAATTTTTCTCTCTCTAATCTCTTAGTGTATAACCAGCCATATTTGATCGCCGGACAAGCTGCTACCAACATGCCAATGAACTGAGCTAATTCTTTTATGGTACATTTTTTATCTTTTAGAAATCTAAGGACAAACTGATAGATAGAGACACGTTTTTTATCGGGTAGCTCTACTCGAAATTTTTTACTGTCAAGTATGAAGCCTAGAAAAGTACACCGTTGTGAAGGAGTGAGTTGGCTTTTACTCTCACTTACCAAGAACCCTAGAGATTCCAAGAGTGATCGCGTAATTTGAATATTTTTCCTGCACTCCTCCTGTGACCTAGCTAAAATGAGAATATCATCAAGGTATATTACTGTTAAAATGCCTAATTTTCTTAGTTTTTCAATGACAGGCTTGAGCAGCTTGGTAAAGGTGAATGGCGCTGTACACAACCCAAACGGCAAACACTGAAATTCATAAATTTCATTATTAAAATTGAATCGAAGGAACTTGCGATGTTTTACAGCGACTGGCACCATTAAATATGCATCTATGAGATCGATTACACCCATAAAGTAGTTTTTACTGATAAGGCGAAGAACGGTTTTCATATCCTCAATTTTGAAATGTGAGGTTGATATGAATTTGTTCAATTTTTTAAGGTTCAGGATGAATCGATCCTCACCACTTGGCTTTTGCCTCAAAAAATATGACGACAAAAATTGATTTTTACAGGGTTTAGTGCAAACTACTGCCCCGATTTGCATGAGTTTAGTAATGGCTTTTTGTGTTCTAACTTCCTCCTCAGTTGTTAATGAAGGGGCCATTTGTACTGACATTTGACACGGGGAATCGCAAAAGGGTATTTTATACCCTGTGACGCAGTTCACTATGAAAGGATCATTGGTTATTTCCTTCCATTTTTCTGTGAAAAATTTTAAGCGACCTGCAGTTTTACTCACCTTTATTTTCTCCGACTGTCGTTGGACTGTCGATGATTTGTCCGATTCCATTGTTGTCCCCCCTTCCTCGAGGATGTCCGTTGATTGTACTTCTTGGAGGGGGGTTTCCAGTTTAAATGATTTTTTGATGAGGTGGATGGTTTATCCTTGTTTGTAAATCCTTTAAATGTATTGACCACAGCAGATCTAGTTATATCTTTTCCACTTTTCTCACATTCTTTCGCTGCCTTAAGTTTTTCTCCCAATGTTTCTCCGAACAGGAAAGTATCGACTCCTGTCTCGTCAGCGATTGTTTTTAATCGCATACTGAAGGAAGGAGTGATGAAGGACCTGCGAGTAATTGATGTATCGTGATGTGAGTCAGTAAGAATCTTGCCTATGTCACAGATGGTTTGAAAAACTTGAGAAATTTCATTCTTTTCGAGTTCTTTTGTAGCTTTTTTGGCCTCTAAAAATGTTGTCAGGACTTGTCCCACTGCGCTAATTGCTGCTCCCAGCTGAGTTTGAGCGCGCACTTGGTGTTGATCCTTTTTGATAGCAGATGTGCTCATAGCAGATTTAATTTCTGCATTTAAAATTGGAGCACCAATTGTGCGACAATTAGCTGGCGTATTATATTTTTTTATTAGAGTTTGTTTTGTCTCTTTAGGAAGTCCTGACTTCAATATTTTCGACCATGACTCAACTATCGAATCATGAAGAGGTGCACTTTGAGGAGTTTCCTCCGCAGCGCCATCTGTCAGCAACTTTAGAAACTCACTTTCGTTGTTTACCATTTGAGAATTGCTCGCTGCGCCATCTGTGGTCTGTTTATTTACTATGACTCTGCGTCCTTGAAGGGATATCAGACTCCTGGATCTAGAGCGGTTACGAGAATGACGCGACGTACCTCTCCGGTTACGCTCTTCGTCTTCATTTGCACCAAGGCGCGAACCAGACGCATCTCGCGGATAACGCTCTAGGCTCCGCCGTCTAGCGTGCTCGGACCTGGATGTGCGTCGCTCTCGATCGCGATCATGTTCCGCCCCGTCATTCGACGCTCCTCTCGGGATGCGCTCTATGCTCGGGCTGTTGGAACGTGGTGATCCTTGTTCAGATCTTGAATACTCACTGCGAGATTCCGATGTTGAACGTGACGAGCTTCTGCTGAGTGAACGCCGTTTGTGCTTTGCTTTTTTCAAGTCCTTTTTTAACTTTCTGAACTTCTTCTCCAATTTTTTAAGCGATGAACTTTTCTTTTTCTTTTTGTGTCGACGACGATCCTCTTCACTAGATGAGCTGCTATCCGATGATGATTTCATTATTATTATTATTTATTTATTTTTTTTTTTTTTTTTTTTTTTGGTTTCACTTGAAACGATGTGTCGTGGAACGCACAGAACAACGTAATGACGGAAAAGGGAAGTACGACAAGGGCGACACCTACCGAAGGCGCCAAAAACTCTTGAGTTTTAAAATTACTGTGGTGGAACGATCAGTACGGCGGGACTACGAAAATTGATCTTGAGGACGAGACAGTGAAATACAATTAATAAAAACTATATTAAAAAAAAATTATAATCAATAACTATTTCCGTGTTTATAGTCAGGTAAACCTTAGTATTATTGTTAAATAATAATTTTAAACAATGAAAAAAATTGAAGTCATTTCATTTAATTAACAAAACTTAATTTAAATTAAAATTGATAATATTTTAAATTTATATTCAAAACACGTAAAATATTTTACGCTAGTAGCGAAATGTAGAGAAATTCATTAAATCTGTAAAGGTGTGAAAATTGCAAATCGCCAATTTGTCATAAATGTTAAGTGAAAAATGAAATTATAACATTCTTATGGAAATTTTCCCAGAAGAGGATTATACACGAGAAAAATACATATCAAGATGATCGCGTGTAAGAATGTAAAACCGGAAGAGATTCGCTTAAGCTTTAATTTATTCTCCGCTCTGAAGTTTTAATTTCCTTTATTAATTGTGCTGCTGATTTACCTGAGTCATGATTTGATCCCAAGCAAGCGTCACGGCATCATTTTGTCCTGAATAATACTTAATAGTTGATTTTAACAAATTTTGCGTCTCTTTCTCTGCCTGCAAAAATTTTTCAATTAATACGATTATAAAAACGCTTGTTAATTTTTACCAACCATTCCAAATTAATTTGTAAATGACTATTGAGTTTTTAAAGGAAAAGAACAATTTGAAATTAACTCGCAAAATAGTCAGTTAAGATTAATTCGTATATATGTAATTGAGGGGGAAAAATTCAATTTTCAAGGATACTTACATCTCCTTTAAGTTCAAAGGCAAGTCCAACAACAACACATTCCAGAATAAGAACAATGAGAATCAGAATACCATACTGAAAGTTAAAATATTTATTATTTAGAAAAGAAAGTTTAAAATAAAAACAGAAAATAATTTAACAATTTTTTTTTTATAAATAATGAGTATAAATTTTTTTTTTTTAAATATATGAATAACTCACGACACACAGAAGACATCGAGATTCAAACATTGCTCCACAATATCCAAGAAAACTGACAAAGAAAGTCAGTGCTCCGGCAATTATTAAAATGTAGGAGATCATCTCAAGAATATGAGCATCTGTATTATTCTGAAACACAAAAAAAGCAATAAATTTTAATAAATTCTGAAATAATTTATTCATTTAAATAGTAATATTATTATTATATATTTCAATTAGTAGAAAATAACTAATTATTTGTGAAAAAAAATTATTAAAATTTTTGGTAGACATAAATCTACTTATTTTTTAGTCATGTAACATAACCTAAAAATTAGATTAACTAATGAATTAGTCATTTTTGACTAAAAATTAATCATTACTGTTATTAATTCATTTAATAAACGAATCGCTGCTATTGAATTAATCAAAAGTGACTAATTCAGGCTTAGAGAGTAAATTTAACGACCAAAAAAAGGGAGAGGGGTAGAATTTGAAATAAAATTACATTTTTTATAGAAAACTACAGATTGAAATTTTAATAAAAAATTACTATTCAGAAAATGTAATAAAATATAGCCAAATAAATTAAAATTCCAAAAAAATGTTATAACCCTTTTAGTAAGTTTAAGTTTTAAGGTTATGAATGTAATTTAATATTGATTTTTAAAATATTAAAAAAGATTTTTTTTAACTTTTAACGTTTTGATTATGTTATCTCAACATATATCTTTATTTCGTATTTTAAATTATAATGAATTTCTGAAGAGATCTGTTATTGACAAGTGAAAGCTAATATTTTATTGTCTATTTTTGTTTTTAAATCAATAAATAAAACAAAAATATACAATCTGACTATAAAAAAAAAATTGTTCTCAAATTTAATAACAGAAAAATTGTAATTTTCATTTAATGAAATTTTCTCTCATTGACTCAAACAATACACCTGTTGGAAGATTCTGTCAAAACCTGTTGAATGCTCTTTAGGTTATTTTTAGCTTCTTGCATGTACATTGAGTTTTGAGGCAGATAAAAATAGTCAAATACAGTTTTTTTTATACCAACAGAATATTACAAAATTAATCCTCTTTCTAAATTGTTTTCACAGTTGGATTATAAAGATATTTAAGTTATGACTTTTACATATTAAATCTTTTACGAAAATCATTTCTTTCTCCTTATTATATATCTATTTTAGAATATAATCCTCACCCTCATAACAAAAGGATATCCACAGGATATCCCTAAGACATCTACAAAATATCTATTGGATATTATATCGCAGGATATCCTCAGGATGTCCGTGGGATATTATTAGGATATTCACGGGATATTTAATATCTCAACATATATTTTTAAAGGTTAAAATTGTTAAGCTAATATAATGAATAATAATATAATAAAAACAAAAATCTTATCAGCTTCTAATTTATTTTAAATGAAAATTTGAAACGCATTTTTCAAACTTTTTAAATAAACTCATGCACTTAATGTATAATTAATATTAATAGTTATTCGTTATTTGCGGGGAAGAATTTATATTGTTTAAAGCCAATTTATTTTCTGACAATATTAAGCATATGAATAAAGGAATGAATCACGAATGAGAAAAAAATTAGTTAATAATTTTTCAAATTAAACAACTTTCTTGAAAAACAAGTTGCATTTTATTTTATTTATATAAAATTTAATTCACAGAATATTCTCACTCGTAGTCTCATAATAACTTTAAAAACAGTATCCTGAGAATATCTTCTTGACATCCAGAAGATATACTGAGAATATCCTGAAAATATCTGTGGGATATCCTGACGATATCTATGGGATATCTGGAGGACATTTATGAAAGTCTGTAGAGATATCCTCAGATATCCATGGGACATCCAAAGGATATCCAAACCGCCGATTTTTTGGATATCCTTAAGAGATCCTTTTGATATCCATAGGACATCACTAGGATATCTGCGGGATATTATCAATATATCCCAAGATATCTTGTGTTATTAGGACAGAAATCGGAGCTTTTTATTACTTTAATATTGAGTAAAGCTTTCATTAAATATTCCGCGAAATACAAAAGAATTATCTTACTGCTTATTTTATGTAGATATAAATAAATAAATAACAATTTTTTTCTATATTGACATATTACAATATATAAAAAAAATAAATACAATAGAAACAAAAAGTATATATAATAAAAGAAAAATATAAAATATCAATTAAAAATAATAAATTAATAAAAATAACACGTCGTTTTATTTTGCTTTTTAATAATTTTAATTATAATTCTGATTTTGTTCTTCTTTAAATTTGCGCAAAAAAAGTTTCATTTCATTTTTCTTTTTTTTTTTTTTGAACTTGGAGTTATATTAAAAATATAATTAATTTAATGGCCTTGCCATTTATACTATAAACTTCTATACACTTGTGTATAATTATAATAATTATGTCACTAAAAACGAAAAATGTATAATTATAATGAATATGTTGAAATCCGCAAACTTTCACTTGTAGAAGAGCTCTGAATTCCTTTGATTGATCGATGCGAACGCCTTTTCAGCCAGTTCTCACACGATAATGTATTTAATAATTTGTTATAAAGAATTTCAATAAAATAAATACATATTCTATACAATTTTTAATAATTCACATTAAAAAAATTAATTTCTAATTTTTCATAATTTTTATACAAAAATATACTTTTTTATTTTCAAAAACTTTGTTTTTCAATATAAACATAATATTAGTTGGTTAGAAAAGATTTATTTTTCTTAAAATAAAAAATTGTAGCAAAATCAGAAAAGTAATTCTTGAATATAAAACCTTACACTAGTATATGTCATAATATAATGAACAGGTATATTATTTTTGATTGTATACGCGAAAGGCGAAGCTGTTCATGATTTTGAAATATGGATATCAATTTTATAAAATATAATTTGATTTTTATTATTTCAAGATATCTGAGACAAGAGATATGTTGTCAGAAAAATTTATGCAATTAAATATATATATACATGTACATTGTGTTCCGTTACGTTTAATTTGTACCAGATACGCAGACTTATGCAAGCAGAAATGAGAAAGCACACAAAACAGGTGTGTCGAGTTCAAACTATGCCATTAACGGGTGTCTCTTATCGTTTAGTAGTACGCCTTTCACATAGTCATTGGATGACATCGATAAATGCCATTAAAATCTCTACAAATTCTTTTCTTTTTACAAAATTACTCCACTTTATAATTTTATAATTTCAGAATAATTTAATAAAAAAAAAGAAATGAAAATTTAAATTATATTAAATTTATCTTACTGAATAAATAAGGATTAGTAAAATTTATCATATTCAAAAATTTACTTCGTAAAATTTACCATCAATTTGGTAAAACTTAACATCTTCAAACTTTATTCCAGAAAAAAAATTCTTAATTTAAAAATAGAGATTTGCTTGAACAATTTTGTTTAATGTAACTCAGTTTTAAGTTTTATTTTAATTTATATGGAAAATATCTATCACTTTTATTTAAAAATATTATTTGCGTCTTTGAATGAAAATTATAATATTATATTTGATTTAAACTTAAGGGTTAGTTTAGAATGGGTGCATATAAATTTTCATTGGATATCATGTAGAACGTCCGTAATATACCATAACTTTATATTTTTGACACCTAGTTCACTGAATTTGAGTGGCTCCCAACAATATTTCATTTTCACGGTTGAAATGAAATATTTATCATAGCCAAAGTCAGTGATTCTTCGTGAAAATGCATCGCTTGCCGAAAACGAAGAAGGTATGTAAACACCTTTATTGTTCCTCGATGAGATGCAGGTTTCTATCTCAAAACGAAAAAAGCGAATGACTATATGAAGTTGAATTCACAAATTTCAAATGACCAGTTTCCCTACTCTCTATTCATACGAATTGTAAATTGAACAAAAATTATTATTTCGAAAGAGCATTCGATCTAACTTGAAATTGTGAGAATTATATTTTAATCGAATTCTTTTTTATTATTTTAATATTTCAAAGTGACAATAAGAAAATTTTCTACATTTCCGCACATAAAGCATTTTTTATTTATAAATCACTTTTTAAATTAGAAATAAGAAAATATGGAGTTAGACTAATTTTGATTAAAGTAATAATTAATAATATAATTATGTAACTAACCTGAATTAAACTTAATTTAAAAAAATAAACCATTTTAAAAATGTTAATATATAGTAAAATGTACTGTTTAGTTCAGTAAATTTTACCATCTTCGAAATAAAATTTACTATTTCTCAAATTTAATTTAGCAAATTTTACTCTCTTCGTAATTTAATTTTAACATGTATAAAGCCGACGTATTTTATTATTGCTCTACAATTTTAATCTAATATATTATAAAAATATGTAATAATAATTATAATGTATAATCTTTGTTTCATCTGTAAAAAAAAGTTCTTGAATGTACAGCAAATGTACTTATAAATTAACACCGATGTCTCGAGAAAGGCGCGAAATATTAAATAAAAAAGTAAACCTCTTTATGAAACACTGAATTAGGGAAGTAAAAAAATATACTTTGGTAAGATTCATAAAATTCAATACATAATATTCAATCGCGTCTAAAATAAATTACACATAGAATTTTATAAACCAAAATTATTTCTAAATAATACATCTATAATCTATTCTCGCAAAGGAATTTGAATGCAAAGTGCTCTGACATAAATTTTGTAAAAGTATTGTAAACAATAACTTTAGCTCTATTTTTACGAGGTCATAAACAATCTTTTTTCTAAAATATGGCATAATTCTTTTGTAACATCATGTTTGTGTTGAAAATTCATTTTCTGTATATCTGCGTGCGTTTAATGTATATTATTTTTAAAACCAGGAAAATCACTTTTATTAACATTGAAGTGAGCGCAGGGGATAAAACGAAAGCAAAACTTTTACTTTTCGTGCGTTCCGCTCGTGCTCTGTTGATGTGATGTTCACGTCCGAGGTTTATCAACAACATAAATAATAACACCCACTTAATTAGTTAATTAACGTGTACTACGGATATATATAAATCTGTGAAAAGACTCTAACGAACGGAATCTAGTTAAAAACATCGTTTATAACTGAAAAAAAACTAATTGATTATGCAGA